GTGTGCACTTTTAGAACCAGTTTAATTAATAAAGCTAGTTGGCCCTGTCTGGGAGGTCATTTGGTTGGAGCATTGTCCTGTAGACCCAAAGGTCGCGGGTTTGATTCCCAGTCAGGGCACATACCCAGGTTGCAGGTTCCATCCCCAGTCGAGGCGCATACGGGAAGCAACCAATCAGTGTTTCTCTTTCACCCCCCCCCCCCGCCCTCGTTTCCTCTTTCTCTAAAATCAATAAGCATGTCCTTGGGTGCGGATTAAAAATAATAAGAAGAAGAAGAAGAAGAAAACATAAAGTCCTTTTTAGGTAGTTCTTTGTCCACAATTATTTCCTTAAGATGTGCCCTGCAGCGGTGTTCCAAGCCTTTCGGTGATTATTACTGAGCTGTATGTTTCAACCTCTTATTCTTGGTACAAGCAGAAAACTGAATCATATGACTTTGCAGTCATGGTTAAACCTCATTTTGTTAGAACCTATGTTATATACAGCAATGAGGTCTGGGAATAAGAAAAGGAAAGTTTTAGACGTGAAGTTTTAGTGGTGAAAGGGATCACAAATCTAATCTCTGAGTTTTGTAGGGGAGGAACCTGGCAGTAAATAAGAAAATGGCCTTTCCAAGGCTACGTGGCTACTTACTGTTCCTGGTGGACCCGAGTTCCAGCTGCGAGTCCATCCATCCTCTTTTCACTGCTAAGATCTGTGTGGGCGCACCCCTGGATGAGTTTAACGTCATTGGGTCTCATTTCTTCTCTCTTCCCCTCTGCCTCATCCTTCATGTAAGCTGCCTATCCTCCCTTTCTCTCTCAGGGCCCTTTTGGCTCTAAACCGTGACCTACCCCAATAAACTTGTCAAAACAGTTAAGTGCTACCAACTAGCAAAACCACTCACTGTCTTCTGAATGACTCCAAATAGTGCCGGCGCGGAGTCGGGTAGTGAAGGGGAACAGCGCCTGAGCAGTGCACCTGTTGGATAAACATCCTTGGGTTCTGTTGAAGTGAATGCATAGGCTTTGTATAAGTATGACAATTGTTCATCATGATGTCTTTTGAAATTTTTTTTTTAAATTGAGGTATAAAGGATGTATAACATTATCTTAGTTTCAGGTATACAACAAAATGATTTAATATTTCTATACTTTGTGAGATGATCACCACAATAAGCCTAGTTAACAGCCATCACCATATCACCATACATGTTGTATATACAATATATTTAGTGAAAATACCATAATGTTTTCTCCATGGACTCAGCAAACCACCAAAGGACATAGCTGAATATTAAACTTTGTGCATAGAAAGGTTTTAGTGTTTCACTTAACAATCAGGAGTTTCGAATCTTCAGTCCTGAGAAAGTCATTGCTTGAAGTTAGGTTGCTCCTGTACATTCTCAGCTTTGTCCCAACGTGGAGCGTGGTGGTTGAGGGGTCGGAAGCCCGGCTTCATTGGCAGGTAGTCGGCGGACACACCGTGAGGTCCGCGGCCAGGAGCAGCCCAAGCCTGGGCTTCTGGGGCCCAGGCTGCGCACTGGCCACCGGGCGCCCTGCCTTTCGACCTCCTGGCAGAGAGAACCTCTCCTTTTCTCCTCATTAAAAAACAAGAGAGAGAGGGAGTGAAAGAAACAACAACAAAAAAATATTTTCAAAGCAGCACATTGAAGCTTGGAAGTTACAGTTTTCTGCCAGATTGAGAAAGCTGTCCCTTAGGACACGTGACTATTTAGAATACGTAGGCGCTGCTACTGACTTGCAGGTCATCTCCATGGAGAAGGATGTCTACCAGTGGTCCTCAAGCTCACTCAGGGAAGAAGAAATTACTTTTTTGTAATATTATGGACTGAATTTCACAGTCAGAGCTTACTGATTTTCTTCTGAAGCCAGCAGTACTGTTTTATAGTAGGAAAGGATATTGCAGTAAACGATGCTGCCTGTAATGCCCGTGGATACAATTGATTCCTTCACTGGGTTCGCGGTTCTGTAGTTTTCTGCAAGAACCCTTGGTGATCTGTTTCTTCTAGCCTTTAAGATGGTTTAAAGTTGTCTTGAATGAATATCTAATTGGTTGAAACTCCTGCAATTCCAACTTTTATAAAAAAATACATCATAAATATTAAGAAGACTTCTCAGTGGTTATCTTCCTTCAGAAATAACCAAAATATTTAATGCCTTAATCCACGTCCCCCTTAAGGAAAAGTGGGGGAAGGAGAAAGCAAAGAATAAGGGTGGTGTCAGGCTCTGTGTCGGGGACGTTGCTGTGAGCCACCCCATGCCCTAGGAAGCTTGTGACGAGAACGCCCTCTGACAGAGAAACCGCATGGAAACATCCCAAGATATGTCTGGAAAAAGAAGAAAAACAAAAAATTATGTCCATGATGATTCCACTTATGTTTTTGAGAAGGCACTGAACACATACACACGTATGTAAGCATATGGAAAGAACTGGTCTGTTTGCAGCAGTTACCACGGTTACAGTGATTCTGGAAGGCTCTTGGAGAGCAGGTTATGGTGACAGAAATGTCTTTTACTTCGTATTTCCGTGTGACTTGGGTCTGTTGTGCTAAGAGGTCCTTTGTGGTGTCGGCGCTGTAGGGCAGTGATGTGTGAGAGGATGGGGTGAGAGAGAAGGGCAGAGTTCTGGGTCCCGGCAGCATCAGTGTGCTTTGTCTGGTTGTCTAGACTTGAGTTCCGGTTCCAGGCTTCTGGGGCCCTTTTTGGTGCTAGGACCATCTCTTTTCTGTCCCCCTCTTTCCATCTAAGTCAAAAATGGAAAGATTTTCATGTACGGAAAACAATATGTGAGCTAGAAATGACCACTGAGCAACAAGAGAGAGACTGCTTCGTACCTGCTTTTCTTTCCCCTCCTGGGCTGAGCTCAAAACCTGCTGGAACAGAATCTGAACAAAGAATCTGAGTAACCTTAGGAAAAGTGTGGGGCCTTGATTTGTTTGTAATTTTATTGGGTACTTGGGAGTGTGCATTATTAAAAGCGTGTTTGCATGTGCTTTTGAAATCTTGAGGATATCTTTATCAATTTCTTACTGAGTTCCCCACTTTTACCTTCCTGAAGTATTTTAAAACAGCAATGACAACAACAACAATATGGGCGAATCTTACAAACCTGGTAAGTAAAAGATGTCAGACGTGGGAGAGTACGTATAACATACATACTAATCTGTATTTATGTCTATAGACCTTTAAAACAGGCAGAATTAATCTGTGGTGGTGGAAGGCTAGGGGAGGTTCTGGGGGGCTTCTGGGGCTTGGGCCTGCGTTTGGGTCTGCATGTCTACCTTACGGAAACTTTTTGAGATGTACGCTTAAGATTGGGTACTTTTCCATATTCATGTTCAAAATGGAAAAAAACCCCCCCAAAATCCACAACAGTAAATCACCTCTTAAAATAGAGGGATGGGTAGATAAGATAGAAAATAGCTTCATTTTGTTTTTTTGGTTCATCACCACCCCTGCATGTCTGTCCCAGATCAGACCATCAACGCTAGAAGGTCAGGGGCTGCTGTTTTTTGGGGCACTGGCCTGTGATAGGTACTGAGAACTTACTGAGTGATTATCCTGAGCATTAAAATCCCACCAATCTCCTGTGAGTATTTTAGAGAGATTTGTCCTCTGATGCTTAAGATGTTTTAATATTTGTATTTTGTAAGAGGACAAAGTGAAGGAGGTGTATATTTCTTTTTTTTTTTTAATTAGGAGTATTTTAAAAAAAGGTTTTATTTACTTATTATTAGAGAATGGGGAAGACAGAGAGAAAGCGAGGGAGAGAAACATCAGTGTGTGGTTGCCTCTCATGTGCCCTGCACTGGGGACTTGGCCTGCAACCCAGGCATGTGCCCTGACAGGGAATCGAACTGACGACCCTTTGGTTTGCAGGCCGGTGCTCAATCCACTGAGCCATACCAGCCAGGACAGGAGGTGTATATTTCTAACATCCTTTCCCTTCTGATTTGGAAAGACGAGACTGGACTGCCCCTTACTTGTCTGGCTGTTTGGGCACTCCTAAACAGTTACTAACCTCTTGGGTAAAAGTTTAATCAAGATTTTCCATTGCAGCATTACTTACAATAGCCAAGATATGGAAACAACTTAAGTGTCCATCAATGGATGAATGGATAACAAAAATGTGGTTATATATACACAGTGGAATAGTATTCAGTCATAAAAAAGGAATGAAATCTTGGCATTTACAATAGTATGGATGGATCTTGAAGGCATTATGTTAAGTGAAATAAGTCAGGAAGAGGTCAGAAAAAAACAAATTCTGTGTGGTCTCACTTATATGTGGAACCTCCAAAAACAAACAAACAAGCTCATAGATCCAGAGAACAGATTGGTGGATGTCAGAGATGGGTGTGGGCAAAATGGGGGGAGGGAGTCAAATGGCACAAATTTCTAGTTATAGGTAAAACACGAGGATGTAATGCATAGCCTGGCATTACTACTGTATTGCATACTTGAGAATTGCTGAGAGTAGAATTTAAAATTGTCATTACAAGAAAAAAATTCTGTAACCACGTATGGCGATGCATGTTAACTAGACTTACTGTGGTGATCCTTTCAAAATATATACCAATATCGAGTACTAATGTAATGTTGTATGTCAATTATACCTCAATTAAAAAAATAAAGTTTGATGAATTGTTTTTTCTTTCTATTTTTCAGATGGCAAGTATGTTTTGTTCCCTTTGGAAACTTGTCACTCTTTTCTTTCTTGTGTGTACCTCAAAGGAAGAGTGGGGGAGAGAGGGAGAGATGCGGGGGGGGGGGGAGAGAGAGAGAGAGAGAGAGAGAGAGTGTGTGTGTGTGTGTGTGTGTGTGTGTGTGTGTGTGTGTTGGGGTGTTGAATGTGTCCTGTGTTGTTTGCTCTGTGGCTTTATCCTGAAGTTTTTGGGCCAGTGATCCTGAGTGGAAGAAATGGGCATTGCTTTGCTGAAAGGTTTATAACATAGCTCAATTCCTTTTCTGACCCCGTGCTCCTTGTCAACTTTCAGAGCTTTAGACAAACTGAATGGGTTCCAGTTGGAGAGTTTCACGCTGAAAGTGGCCTACATCCCTGACGAAATGGCTGCCCAGCAGAACCCCGCACAGCAGCCCCGTGGTCGCCGTGGCTTTGGGCAAAGAGGCTCCTCAAGACAGGGGTCTCCGGGATCGGTGTCCAAGCAGAAGCCATGTGACTTGCCTCTACGCCTGCTGGTTCCCACCCAGTTCGTTGGAGCCATTATAGGAAAAGAAGGGGCCACCATTCGGAACATCACCAAGCAGACCCAGTCTAAGTGAGTGCTCTGAGTGTATGGTGCGCGCTCATGTTTTCCCCTCAGAATCTTAATAACCAAGTATGTTGTTCTGGTACCTGATGTTCTTGTGAACGTGGTTATGAGCCCTTCTCATACTTGGGAACCTGGAAAAACCTTGTGATTTTGAAATCTTAGTGTTTATTTTATAAAGATATGGGGCTAAATCCAAATCTCAAGGGAACCACAAATTTCGACACATGAATGGTAAACAAATGATACCTAATCCACTTGTGATAGAGGCGGCCCTGGAGAACCAAATGAGCAGCCTCTGGGTTATTCTCCGCTCCCCCCACCCACAGTGATACCTGCCTTTTTGTTTTTGGGTGTAATTTTCTGGGTGCAATACAGAGATAGTTTTTCAGTCTTGCTTTACCTGAGTAAAGAGTCATTCAGCCTATGGTCCAAATTTATCCCATGAATAAGCCATGTAGCCAGAATGGCTTTTTCTTCAGGATCTTGATTGGGAGTTTTAACCTGCAGATTTTAAGGGATTGGGAGATTCTTAGGCAAACACTGGAGCCAGCTTTTCAGGAGAAGAAAGCAGGAGCTATGTGTTATGGTTGACCACTGTGCTGAGCACATTGCCTGATTTGAAGAAGGCTCTCGTATTTGGCAGAGGAGTCAAATTAACTCCACTGTATCATATATTAGCTGTTTCGCTTTATTAACCATCCTGTGATACCATATGACTATTTTGATCCAGAGAAGCTTGGTGATGGACCGTCCCCACTCTGCTTTTATGGAGCACTACCAGGCACACCTCTGGACTGTTCCTGCCATATTTCCTGAAGAGCTGAGTGTACCAGGGAAAAGAGGCCATGTACAGGCTCTCTTGGGTCAGTTCCGTATACCAAAGGGTGGGGGAGTGACCTTGGTCCAGCTTCAAAGATAACTGCTGATTCTTTTGTTTTTTAAATTTGATAAGGACATTGATTTCATTTCATGTGTTCCAAGGAATTAAGGAGAGGGTATTTTTCTGAAAGTACAACTATGGCACTGTGCTTGTTCCAACAGGCTTCAGAGGATGCCCATAGTCATCACGGGCACCATGCTTGCTGTAAACTCGTAGATTTCTCATGCAAAACCAACGAGGACTGTGCTTAGCGGTGGTGGCGGGCCCACGGCACCTGCAGGATGGTGTCTGATCCTGCCTTCCCCTGCTGAAGCAGGAGATGTTTGGTGCTGGGTACCTCTGTGCAGATCAATGGCCTTTGACCTTATCACGTAGGGACTGGGGAAGACAGTTGAACCATTGCCTACATCACTTCTGATGTTAAATCTGCCTGGTTTTAATCTTGAAATTGAAGAGCTTCTTGCTTCCCTTGATTCGGCATTACCCGCAGAAACTAATTATTGAATGGTTTTCCTTCCTTGTCGCGTGGCGGATTAGAGTTGTTCCTTTTAAACACTACTCATTTCCTCATCTGAGGAAAGAGCTTCTGTGATTTAAGTTGAACTGTTAGTTTTATTTAAGGCAGGAAGATATGGAGGATGGAGAGGGAAGGGAAGCAATTTTTGTTATATCCGATGATTCATTTGCAGAGCTCAGCCAGTGGATTTAATTAACTCTTGCCATTGCAACTAGTCATCATCAGACCCTCTGTTCTGGACCAGCCTCAGAGGGTTCCCCTAATCTGTAAAGCAGCAGTCCCTCTCTCCGAAGAGAAGACAGCTCACACAGTGAATGGTGACGATAAGTGGGAGGAGGGAGTGTCACAGGGCGCCTAGAAGATCAATGCGCACGGCTGGGGATTTCTGAAATAGCGGTTCCTGAGATTGGGACTGTTCTCTCGCTGCGCTGTTTTTTAAGTAGTTATTTCTAATTGGCTCATATTTGTTTCGTGTTCACATTGCCCTTATGTTTAGTGATAGGTGCTACTTCTGAAATAGATCTTCAGTTTTCAGCGCACGTCCGGGAGAATGAGACCCGATGAAGTGGCCATTCTCATCGTGAGGGATTATGTAGCTCCTGGTCTTCTGGGCTCCAGGGGCCAAAGGGACTCACAAATACCCAGTTTTCTTTCTTGTACCTTTTCAACCACAGCAAACTTATTTTGCTTTTAATTAAAAATGTACATGCATGCAAATGAAAATAAAAACAGTTATCCTTCATCTCACCCCCAAGTGTTGCTTTAAAGGAGAAATTTCCAGTGTCACTCCAGTAAATTTAATAAATACATAAAAGAAAAAATACATAAATAAAGAAGAAATCTATCATGGTATGTATTGCATTTTTCCGCAGAAGATCAATGACCTCTTATAATGTTGGTATTTGTAATTATAACACGTTTTTAAACAGCTGTGTGATATGGAGATACTATTATTTAACCATCTCTTCCTGGTGGGTCTTTTAAAGATAATCCCAATTTTCTTTCTGTTACAAATAGTGCTACAGTGAATATTCCTGTGCTAGTGGTTTTCAACCAGGGGCAACCCCCCTCACCCCCATAGACATTTGGCCATATTCGGAGACGTCTTTGGTTGTCACCCCTGGAAGAGGGATGTGCTGCGGGCACCTAGCGGGTTGCTGCTAACACCCCACGGCACAGGATCAGTCTGGCCCAGGATGTCAGCAGTGCTGACGGCGAGAAACACCACTCTCGGCACCCGTGTGGGACTACATCTGTAGATGTTACAGGAAGTAGAAGTCTTTTTCTTTTAAAAATTATTTATTTATTTATTTTAGAAAGGAGGGGAAAGAGGGAGCAGAGAGGGAGAGTAACGTATGTGTGAGAGAGAAACTTGATCAGCTGACTCGTGCACGAGCCCCATTCCCCAGGCACATGCCCCAACCAGGAATCAGACCGGCGGCCCTCCACTTTGCCAGTCGATACCCAACCAACTGAGCCACACTGGTCAGGGCAGGAAGCAGAATTCTTGAATCAAAAGACAATAGACCTTTTAGCTTTGATAAGACCTGCCAGTTCTACACACCCACCAAAAGTGTGGGTGTGCCCAGCTTACCCATTCTCTTGTCAATACTTAATTTTATCTATCAGACTATTTGCTGGTCTGGAAAAAAATATGCCTTATTTTAATTGGTATGTATATAACACTAGTGACGCTTGACAAATCACATGAACTGACCACTTGCTTTTCTTTGAAGTAGAATGGCTGTCTCTTTGGGTTTTGTTGTGGACTTTCCTCTGTGAAGGAGGCCAAGTGTAGGAGGAGCCTCACAAAAGGAAACAGATGAGCGAAACGCGCGCCTCCGATGAGTAGTGAGGGAGCACTGCCGAGTAAGAGGTCCGACTGGGTCGGTGGGACTCCAGCTCCTGCCCCCTGGGCATGCGCTCCACTTCCTGTTTGTTTTAGAGCAGAAGAAAGCCTTTGTCTGAACCTCAGCCCCTTGACACCAGATGGTTGTCCTGTGCCATCAAAAAGGAAGCTTTAAGCAGAATGAAAAGATGTCCCTGCTCAGTCAGACTAAGGAAAGAGAGGGAGTGTTCCTGGAATTAACGTTGTCCTCTGAGGCATCCTGTTGACAGTTTATCAGGAGTTTATGCTCTTGAGGGAAGTGACTCATCCTCTCTGCCCAGAAGCTCTGTGACATTATAAACTCGCTGGTGAATGCACGCTCACAGTTGTCCTTCTCTCTCTCCTTGCGCCCACCCTAAGAATCGATGTCCATCGTAAAGAGAATGCAGGTGCTGCTGAGAAGTCCATTACTATCCTTTCCACCCCTGAAGGCACCTCTGCGGCTTGTAAATCTATTCTGGAGATTATGCATAAGGAAGCTCAAGATATAAAATTGTGAGTAAAGACGATGAACCTACAGAGAGGGTGATGTTCGTGCTGTTTTGTTTTGGATTCCATGACACAGTTCTTGAGGAGTTGCTGTCCTCATGCACTGCAGTGGTTGGCTCTGTTGATTTGGTTGTAAAGCATAAGTCCTTAAAATACTTTCATTTGTGTTTGGATATGGGATGAGGGGCAGTAATGAGCAAAGCCCAGCTGTAAAAGAAGGTGACTGGGGGACAGAAGCCCACCTGAGGTCCAGGAAGTATCACCCTTGGGGTTTCCCCGAGGCACGGCCCGAATCCTCGCTGCTTTATCTGAGCTCACTGGGGCTCTGTCTTAACTGTCTGCGCAGCCCCACCCCGCTGCTGCAGCTGGGCGCGTGGAGGTGGGGGAAACCCCTGACCGTGTGCTACAGTAGCCTGGGGATGTATTTGGATATTCCAGGTTGGCACTATTCACTGTTTTCCACAAGAACTTTGAGCAGAGGTCAGGTTTTGCACTACTTTTAGCGTTTGGCACAGTGCTGTGCATAACGTAGAATCTTGAGTAAGGTGCTGGAGTTAGCCTCGACCTAGTCACCGGCACTTAATGTGCAGGGACCTTTGAAGTATGTTAAATATATTTCACTGATAAAGTGTTACATGGTGCTATATTATGAGATTATAATTCTTTTTTAATATAAAGGAAAAAATATCACTCAGATAACGCCAATGACATTTTTTTAATTGCATTTTTTTCCCATGATCACTTATCCCTCATACCCTCCCCCCATCCCCACCCCCCTGCAGTCACCTCACTGTTGTCTGTGTCCATGAGTCCTTTTTCTTTTTCCAAATGACATTTTTAAACAGTGATATGTGTATGACTTAGAAATTCAGAAAGGTACAAAATGAAATGTGAACCCTCCTCACCCCCTACCCCTCCTGCTCTTAAGTTCCCCCCCGTACCCCCCGAGTGTAACTAACCACTGTTGAGTTTCTTCTGTTTCCTTGTATAAATTGTGCATGTATTGCCAGGTATGTATTTTAAAATTTATACTAGCATCATATTCTTTTGCATTTGTACATGTTCTGGTATTGGCAGGGTTAGGGATAAGAATTTGAGTAGGAACAGTTTTCAGAACTCACAAAAGGAAACAGTTTTTAAAGATTAACTTCTATCCAAATGCATGTTAATGTTTTTTTACGTCTATTCATGCATTGCTAGAATGTAGGCTAATGGTCAGCCAGTTTTAAACTCTGCCTAGCATAACGCTTCCTATATGGTAGGTAGGTAGGAAGTAAATGTTTAATGAATGAATATTGTCTTTTTACCCAAGAGTAAGTTTACTTACCCTGATTTCATGACCATTTTTTTTTTTTCATTTACAGCACAGAAGAGATTCCCTTGAAGATTTTAGCCCATAACAACTTTGTAGGCCGTCTTATTGGTAAGGAAGGAAGAAATCTTAAAAAAATTGAGCAAGACACAGACACTAAAATCACAATATCTCCGTAAGTGCTGCCTTGCTTTCTTTTGAATTAGAAAATTTTCATACACCATGATTTAGCTGTAGCTTACATATGAAGCATAGCTCGCCCCATGTGACAGCTGTTGGAACTAGCCTGCACTGCCATACTGATTCTTTGTTTCTCAAGTTCAGTCCACCGTCTACTTCCTATCTGTTTCTAACCCATACTGAAAGCATTATCTGTTCCCACTAAAGAAGCAGAGTGCACTAAAAACTTTACATTCATATTTCCTAGCAGAAGTTTTGGTCATGTTTTCTGATATATACTCTCTAAATGGGTATACAGAGCCCAGTTTGTTATCCATTGATATGTAAGAAATTATCCCAACATTTGAGAGCTTAAGCCAATAGTAAATGGGTATTGCTCTCCAAGTTTCTGTGGGTGAGGATTTCAGAAGCACCTTAACTGGGTGCTTCTGGCTCAGGCCTCACGTTTCAGACAAGTCGGCGTTGGCTGCTTGGCATGCGGCCTCCGTTCCTCACCGCAAGGCCGCTTGGGTGCCCTCAAGACATGGCAGCCGTCTCCTTCCAGAGCGAATGATCCAAGAGAAAGCGAGGCAGAAGCGGCCATGTCTTTTGTGACAGCGGCTCAGGAGTCATACCCGATCGTTCTTCTAATGCTGATCACACAAGAGTGCTCTGTTCAGTGTGGGAGAGTGCACGTCACTGGGCGGGGGGTCACCCGGAGGCTGGCCACTGCACCCACTGTCCACAAATGCTCCGGAATGATTTGGGAAGGTTTTTCTTTTTCCGAGAGTGACTGTCCTTAGTTTCCAGCCCGAAAATGACAAGGCGGGAATAGATGGCTGAACTAACAGGGAGAATTGAGGGCACGGGGGTTTGTGGAACAAGGAGTTTTCAAAGTTTTGCTTGATTGTAAAGAAGGAAAAAACCCACAAAGTGGTAAATGTAACAGATGATCCTACCCTGACTCAAAGTTTATGCTCAGACAGGGGAGGGTTTTAAGTGAAACAAATCTCAAAAGCTATTCTAGAAGCGGCTATTTTAAAAACTGTAATATAAAAGCTTGGCAGGGGTGAGGCAGGGTGAAACTGGAGATTAGAAGTGCACTGCTTTAAGCAGTCTAAGACCAATCACGTGTAGATACAATTTTAGCAATTTGGAGGGAAAAAAAGGAATACCATCCTGTTCGTTTGTCTCAAGTTTAGCTTAAGTCACTGTGCTAGTCTTGAAAATGACAATCGTAACTCTTGGGGATATGAAGGAGAGCTATACCAATATTCCACATCCTTTCGGTCTGTGCGATTCTTTTCCATGGAAAATATTGCAGTTCCCACCATTTCCCTGCTTAAGGCTGAGGACTGACTCCGGCGAAGGTGGCCTCAGGCGGCCTCAGGTGTCTTCCGTGTAGCTTTGAAGCTTCAGCGGAACCTGGGTCGAGCAGGGGAGTTGCTGACTATTGCTGCAGCTTTCTGATTTTTTCATTGTCCAAAGTGGTCATGCAGGGACTGTTTTCTTAATTTAGTCAATATGGATTGAAAAATGTTAGGAGAAAAAACTCAAAACTTAAAAAAAAAAAAAAAAAGACATAAAAAAGAAAACAAACAGATTGATTTACATTATTCCCTCTTGTGTACTTTGATCCAAATTCCAAAATCACTGGCAAAATGGAAGTTTAAACACATGAATTCTAGTGTGCCCCTTTGGAACATGTCCATGCTTATTCCTTGCTTGGTGACCCAGAAAATTCAGTTGCATGAGAATGCCAGTTATGCCTAGAACTGGTCAGTGCAGACCCGGAACTTACTAAAGTTTATGTGCGTCTGGTTCTTGGTGTCTGCTAAAACCTATCCCTCCCATCATTTCCCTGACATCTCACCATTAAATTGTGATCACCATAAGGGGTCAAGAAGTGCACTGTGTTTAAAACATGAACTTAATTGCACTATTAACCCCTGGTGATTTTAATCGAGCAGGTGGGAGGGGAAGTATTTTCTCTCCCGCAGCTTTGCAGTGTTGGGAATCCTGTCTTTTGGGGCTTACTCATTTTCATCATGTCTAATCACCCACTTTACATTTTGCCAGCCCCACAGTTGGGTTTTAATGCCATCTGTGGCTGAACTCTTACTAACCGTCGTCCTCCGATAATTTCCATTCTCGTCCTTTGCCCCTTTTCCACCGGCAGACTGCAGGAACTGACGCTGTATAACCCCGAGCGCACGATCACAGTGAAGGGCAACGTGGAGACCTGTGCCAAAGCCGAGGAGGAGATAATGAAGAAAATCAGGGAGTCTTATGAAAATGACATTGCTTCTATGAATGTTAGTTTTAATACGAAGGGCGTGTCTTTAATTTGATGAACAGTTCAAAGATATTTTCAGTAGCGTTGATATTGATTTCTTTAATGGTGTCATCATTAGACTTAGGTTCTCATTGATTGTTAGCATTGCAGGGAGGGTCCTGGGAGAGTTGGGAAGACCCAACTTTCACATTAGCTTGGCAATCTCTGTGATTTTAGCAAATCATTTAGTCTTTGAGACTTAGCTTCCTTATCTGTGAATTAAGGCTAATACCCACCTTAAAAAGGTTAGTATTTCCAGCGCAATGTTAATTTGAGGGAGATTAGTATGGTAGGAATATGGGCTTCAGAGGTATGTGAACTGCAGGTCCATTCTCTTGGACAACTTATTCAATCTCTGAGCTTCAGTGTCCTCATCTGTAAAAGGGAGCTATGCTTCCATTGCATGCCTGTTAGAATGACAGTGGATAGCCATGCACACAAAAACTACTGCTATGACTACAAATGTAAAATTTGGTTACTTGAGATGAGAATAATGTGCAGTGCAACTGAGACGAAAGTGAATTGCTGACATTCCTTAATGGACGGAATGGTGCTGAGGATGCGACCTTTGTAAGGTTCATCTTGAATTTTCAAGTAAATCGTTGCAAAAAAGTCCTCAGTTGGGCCTGCCACCTGAAACATTACGCCTAGAAGGAGGGAAATGTAAGAATGGGATTACCACCGCGAGAAGAGCTTAGAACGCAGGCCATCTTCACCCCCTTGACGCCTGTCCGCCTTCACATTGTCGTTGCTCTTCCTCGCGTTTGAGTTAATTGGGAGTAAATCCAGCTCCATAGGCCTTTTAAAAGTATCCTCAAGTAAGCTCAGCTCCCACTTCTCTAATCTCCACCTTACTTCCTCAACCCTTACAAAATTAAACCAAAACAAAAATCCCCCTCCTGGCTTCTGGCTCCACTCCAAAGAGAAGTTTAATTGTAGTAGTGACACACGGTTGGGGGCTGATTTCCGAAGGGCTTGACTTCGTTTTAGGCCTTTAGACCCATGACTAGCAAATTTTATTGATAAGTAAGTATCTCTTAGTAGCTGGTTCTCTATCTCTGGTATGCTTTTTAGTGAACAGACGTTGTTTGCCTACTTCTTTCACTAATGCATGATTCTGTCTATACTTACCGTGGGCCTACAGCGTAGAGTGCATATTTGTCTGAGCACTGTGAGTTGTTCATAAAGGACAGGAAGCCTGTGTCCCTGCTTTGAGAAACTCAGTGTGGCTTCAGATCAAGGAGGAGGCAAACAAGCACACGGATTTTAAAATACAAGAAATATAAACAGATATAAACTATATGCTCAAGTGTGGTCACAGGAAACATCTGCTTTGTTCTAAAATTTGTGTGATGTTTTTGTTTTAACGAGACAAGAGGTCACAATCTGAATATTGTCACTTTTAAAATGCCCACTTACGCTTGATCTTTTAATTGTGAAATGAAAAGGGACCCTTTTACCATTGCAGCTTCAAGCACACTTAATCCCGGGATTAAATCTGAACGCCTTGGGGCTGTTCCCGCCCACGGCAGGGCTGCCGCCCCCAGCCTCAGGGCCTCCTTCCGCCATGGCGCCTCCTTACCCACAGTTTGAGGTAAGATGGTGCTCTTGGGCTTTCTTTCTGGTGGAGTGAGACACAGTCAGACTTTGTTGCCTCTGAGGGGTGTGGCATGAGATGTTTTTTGTGGGGAAAATCTTAATGTGACACCTGGTTCCCACGGGATCGGGAATTGGTTTAGGGCCAGCATGTGCTTCCTGGTTTTTGTTAGTAGAACCTTCTCATCTATCCCTTTTATAGCCATGGGTGGGAATTATTACTTTTTGGTGTTTTGAGGTGGTAGAGTTATCAACATGCGCTTTCAAATATCAAAAGTTTGAGACCTTGGGGAGGGGGAAAGACATTACTTACTTTTAAGTATTGAAGAAAAGGATTTTTAAAAGTCTTCATCTTTTTCACTTGGAAGTTAATTGCTTGGAAAGGTCAGTAAAGATTAGACATGGTGTTTTGTTCTGGTTTTTTTTTTTTTTCCATTTTGAGTACTTAAAAAAATTTTTAGAGGTTTTATTTATTTACTTGTAGAGAGAGAGAGGAGGGGCAAGAGAAAGCATGAGAGAGAAACACGCTCGGCTTCCTCTTGCACGTGTCCCCGCTGGCTTTCACCCAGTGAGTTTAATGTCCATTGCTGACATGGGCCCAAATCACGTATCACTGCCTTAATGTTGTCTTCTACATTTCCTAGTTGACAGTCTTACATAAAATACCGCTTTCTCTGCTCTGTGCCTTCAGGGAGAAAAAATGGTTGTTGCTAATTACATTAGAATTTCCCCAGACCTTTTGAATTGGATTCACTTCTCCCTCAGGCCCGGGGAGGGAGTAGGGGCGTGACCCAGGCACCGTCCTTTTGGACAGCTCCTTGGATGACTTCAGTGCAGAGCCAGGGTTCACAGCAGCTACTCTGCTTCTTAACCGCTGAAGACCCTGTGCCCCACCTTAGTCCTAAATGAATCAAAATCTCAGTAGGAGTAGGTGGCTGCCCAGACACTTGTGGTTTTGTAAAGGTCACTTGGAGATTTTTGTTAATTATTCACTGTCAAGAACAACAGTTCTAGAAAGAATGTGTTACTGGTCTGTGGTGAGTGGACCTAGATGTTGGAAAGAATATCTCCTATCAAGACTAAAATGTGGAAGATAATATTTAGGGTAAGCATAAACACGCCACTCATGTATGTCCCTTTTTCTAACTTGTATGAGGCTTCACTTTAAAGTGTAGTGAAAAAACTCTCCCCCTTTTCCTCTCGCCACCTGTCATTCCAACTCGTAGGCAACTCTCAGGCCAAAACTGTCTTGGGATGCGGCCACATGTCTGTTTTCATGCTTCTAAGTATATTTTGGCATCCTATATTATCAGGATTAGGTTTGGCTGGGTGTTTGGAGTTAGAAAATGTGGTTTAAATGAATTTTCCTTTTTTAAGAGAAGAGTTGAAGGGTAGGTAATCTGAGTAGTTCTGGTAGTAGCTCTGCTGTATCGTCTGGGACTGGCGCTCCTACTGGCTCCGCAAACCAACCCTGGGCCAGCAGAACTGCTCAAGCCCCAGCCATGGAGGCCGACTCCGCCAGCAAGGAGGAGGAAGGATCCAAAATCAGCAGTTGCCTCATTTAGGGACACTGTCTGGGGATAGCTGTTCACACTTCCACCGGTAACAGTGTTTGCTAGACCCTTCTACCTGCAAGGGAAGCTGGGAATCTGAGTCTGTAACTAAACAGGTGACTAGATGCCGGGGATGGCTGTTTGACTCTTGCTGCCTGGGTTGAGCCGTACTGCATGTTAAAGGAATCTCTCAGAGCTTGGAAGGGAGGAGGTAATCTTTTAAGGTCTCCTCCCACTCCCCCCAAAAAAGCAAACTCTAAATTCTGGAAAAAATGTCATGTTCCAGTTCCACTCCTGCAGATTATTTTCATCTAATAACGAGAGAACCCCATTTTCAGAGGATTGTACTCTCTCTGGATACCAATTAGAGTAAAGTCTACTTCCAAATAACTGTCAGGTAGTTTTCTGGTTTGATGTTTCAGAGAACAATCCTTTTACCAGTTTTGTGTTAGTGTGTAGCTTCATAGGGGAGGAATACTTAGTTGGAATAGCTTTGTCTTCACTATTAGTATATTAGTAGACTTTGTTCCTCTTCTAAACCCAAATTACTAACAAGTGGTCACCATCCTTTGAAACACAAATAAACTGTTGTTTTCAAAGGCAATTGTTAAATTTATCAAAGCTTTTTTTTTTTTTTTTTTTTTTTTTTGCTTACCATTGCTTCTTACAGCCCTTTCATTCCCTTTGGCTTCACTTTTCTTCTTGCTGAAGAACGTAACATTGAAGGTCTGTGATGTTTTTAAAACCTGAGCCGGAGGATGCAAGGTGGGCAGGTCTTCGCTGTCAGCTGGTGGCCGCCCTCTGCTGCAGTCAGGCATCCAGGCCGCTGCCGCCGAGAAGCTTGCTGCTCCTTAGAAAATCGGGTCACTTACTGAGATCACCTCTTTATCCTCGATGCCCTGTAGGTTAGCGGTAAATCTCTGCCTTTCCTTTAAATGTACATTGCCTGGCAAGGAGTAGGTTTTGATGACTAAATGTTTCAAAAAATCTGACCCTCTTTTTATGTACTGCTTTCTCTTTCTTTTACAGTTGTTTCATCTTTTTCACTGCCTGTTTTCTCACTTCTGCTTTATAGCGTGAAAGGAGAATGGGGGCATCTTGTCTTTGGATAAAGATAAAGCCCTTGCCTCTGTTCCATTCCAGAACTGTGCCCACCTCTCCCCCAGCACACCCTTCTTCTTGGAGCCGGCCGGGTTGATCTTTCCCATACAGCCAAAGAGTTGGTTCTTCCAACAGACAAAAAGTCTGTAGTTCCTGCCTAGCAGCTGGCTCATGCAGCACTTAATTGGCAAACTTGGAGTTTATAAATGACAGGAAATGCTCCTTTCAGAAATGCTCGAATAGGAGGGAAGAGGCAACTGGCAGCTAGCGAGCAGAGCAAGAGCCAGAGCTGGCACGCAGCGACACCCACACAGCAGCATCCGCAGCCTGACGGCGTTGGCAGCTTGCTTTTGGGTTGGCAGAAGTTAATCTGAGTGCTGTTGTCTTAATTTTGGTAGCACCTTTGAAGCCGCCTCAGAAGTCTCCAAAACAATAGCATAACCTTAAAATTGCTTAACTTTCTACTTACAGAAGAGGCAAGAAAAGTGAGCAGTTCCTTAGGTCTTAGCCAGTTTGAGGTGCTCTTTAAGAATCAAAATAGGAGTTGAAAGGGATCTTGGAACAGATGACTGTTCCGTGAGGTCTCTTAGTCCATTTTAGGATTTCTTACTGTGGGTGCAGCGCTTTTGTCAGTGATCAGTGTCAAAGTAGAAAATTCCTTACACACATTTGTTACCTTTAAGAGGCCTTGGTTACTTGTTATGGGGGTGGGAAGAGGGGAGGTTCTTTGCCTTTTTCCTTTTTTTAAGACTTCAATATTCTTTTCAGGTCATGGAATTGAGTGAACTTAATCCCAGTTCCAGACCAAAATCCATTAAAACAAAACAAACAAAACAAAAAACCTCAGGAGTATCTATTTTACAAACCCAAGGAAAACACTGGCATCCGTCCAGGTTCCTGGAGGCTGTTCTCGTTGGCTGGCATGCGTGTCTCCATGCCTTTGTGATGCCTTAGATTCTGTTCCCCACAAAGTAAATACACTTAACCTTACTGTTTACTCATTCTTGTATCTCCTCACGATAGATGATTAGGAATTACTCAATTGGCAGACTTCACCAGTTATGCAAACTTTCATTTGAGCAGCTTTGTTCTTTTGTTTTTTCAAGCTATAACATAGAGTCTGCCAGCAAGTCCAGAGGAAGTTTTGCCGATAGGCATCTGGCAGAAATCCACTGGGAAGCAGCTTGTGTCCTGTGACTCTCCTTCACCCCTGAAAGTTTAGGAAAAAGTGCTCAGGACCATGCAGCTGAACATTAACTTAAACGCAAAGAATGTGTAACAGAAAGGTTCATGCTGATGAGTTTTTTCAAGCTCCATCTCAGAGCCTTAATTTACCAGGTGGAAGAGGCTTATCGTAACCCATTGTTCTGGCTTTAGTTTTGCAAGTAAACATGAAGTTATCTGCTTCTCTGAGGGTCCAAGTTCTGAAAGCCCGGCTTGCTAGGCTGAATCCCGCATAAGAATGACTTGTGCCAGAGAGCCAGTTTAATGATTGTCAAATGGACAGGATGTTTATGTGAGGTGTATTCCCAGAGGAAAATTTCCTTGAAAAGTAATTTATCATCAGGGAGATGCCTGGTGGATATGGAATTGGAGCAAAGGGAATTGGGTGATGCTGCGAAATGTCTTCATCAAGCCTCAGACATCTCGTGAGTCAAGCTTTCATTAAGGCACTGTTGGCACGGGTGCTCCGATTGTCTACCAGCCTAGGGCCCCACTGCCTGGTATGCTTAGTCGGCTTCGCTTTAATGCTTTTTGTCCTTGACAGGTTCTGTTGCTTCTGTTTTCACCCTAGTGCAGAACATTTTTCTGTCTTCACACTGATTCTTCTTCTGGTCTCTGCCCCTTCTTTCTGTTAAAATTTGGTCCTTTGGACCCTTCTCTACTGACCTGCGTTCCTTTTCCAAACTTAACACAACTTTTCTCTTAAATGTATTTCCTTAATCTCCGAATTGGATTTCTTACCTCTCCTACCCCATCCTCAACCCCCACAAATGAACAAAACAGGTGCATTGATAGCCTTTCCTTGCTGCGGGGGAAAGATTATTTAGCTTCTGTTTGGCCATTGAGGCTGGGACACAGTCCCTGCCTCGTGGCTTCTCTCGCGCCGCAGTGGCCCTCAGGTTGGCAGCGCTGAGATGCGCGCTCGAGCTGCGCTGGCTAAACTTGCGCTCTGAGGCTGGTGCCTGTGGCATCCATCCTCTGAGGATAGTCAGGGGCTGCTCTCTGGGATCAGTCACAGGAAAAGTAGTTTTTATTAAGCAAATGAATCGTTTTTCTCTTACAGACATGGTAAATCCTGCTCCTGATTTTTCTTTAAGAGGTTTTATTTATTTATATTTAGAGAGCGGAAGGGAGGGAGAAAGAGACGGAGAGGAACATCAATGTGTGGTTGCATTTTGTGCACCCCCTGCTGGGGACCTGGCCTGCAACCCAGGCATGTGCCCTGACTGGGAATTGAACTGGCGACCTTTTGGTTTGCAAGTCAGTGCTCAGTCCACTGTGATTTTTCTTTTTCTTTTTTTAATTACCTGCTAGGAAGCTTTGAGTCAAATTTGTATAAGAATAGTATTTTGGCTACATCTTTTCTGTTCAGGTCCCTGTGCTTTTAATTTCTTCACCTCCTTTGTTTTATCTTTCTAGATTATGTGCACTTTGTAAGCAGCATAAAATCTTTCTGAAACAAGGCCCAGAAAACAAATAATTATACAATCATGGCAAAATACAATGGAACAGACATCTGAGCAAGTTACACATTAGATTTAGGCCGATCATTTAAAAGGTCTTTATCACTGCCAGACCCTGCACCTCGAATATGTATATATATTTCGTAAGAAAATGGTATGAATGTTCTTGGCGACACAAATATTTAGATCCTATCTGTACTTTTTAAAAATTGGTTAAAATTAATGTATGAGTTTTAATATAAGGACCAGAATGACAAAATAGATGGTAATATTGAACACGGGTTTGTGTGTGTGCGCTTTTTAATCCTCACCTGAAGATATGCTTCCTGATTTTAGAGAGAGGAGAAGGGAGGGAGAGAGGGCGAGAAGCATGGATGTAAGAGAGCAACATCAATTGGTTGCCCCTCACACGTGCCCCGACCTGCAACCTAGGCATGTGCCCTGACTGGGAATCGAACCCATGACGTTTCATTTTATCGGCTTTCGCTCCCACCAACTGAGCCACACCATCCAGTGCTTGAACACAGTTTATGGTCAGTGTCAGCATTAACTCAGTCAGTCTATCTAGTTATTAAAATAGGGCTTAATGTGTCCCTCTGGAATAAACAGTGTAGGGTAACTGCCTAACACACTCGCAGGCTATGAGGTATGTGCCTAAGAAAGGCATTTTTCGTATCACTTGGAAATACCAGAGAATGAAATAGTTTTATTTGGTGCTCCTGACAAGTAGCAACAGAAGTCACCGGGCCAAGCTGTACAGGACAGGCCCCTATTACAAATCTCCACAGCCAAGAGTTTAGTGATAAAGCAAAGTCTTCTGGTGTTCATTCTAAGAATGTTCTAGAGCTACAAGACTTCATTTAGCTGACAACTGCTAACACAGGGAATACCAAAGAAATACCAAACTCAAAAGAATATAGTACCTCTATTTATACAATTGCTGTATTTTTCAGAAGTGTGAAAGGCATGGTTTGAATTAAAATGATTCCACCCTTTAATATAGTGACTAAGATAAATTTATTAGCATACTCATTTGGAAACATCTGTCAGTTTTAAATGGTCATGTTCTGATGCAGCATTTCTAGTAACATAAAATCTAGAAATATTGGTACAAGGGCACAAATTTATATTTAAAGATTTGACTGTGGTATTATGAATTAGTGCAAAATTTGAAACCAGACTTTCTGAAGGTCTTTAAAAGTAGCATCCTCAGATATATAACAAAATAACTGTCAGGTAAAGGTGAAGAAAGCGTGGATTTTTTTTTTCTTGACTTTTCTGTGATGTGGTTATTTTATTCTCATAATTTCATTTATTTGTGAAGAACTTCATTTACACCCTGACGGGTGTGGCTCAGTTGGGTGGGGTGTCATCCCGTAAACTGAAGCCAGTTTGGTTCCTGTGCCCATACCGAGGTTGTGGGTTTGATCCCTGGTTGCGGAGTGTACAGGTTGGGGTGCATACAGGAGGCAACCAATCGATGTCTCTTTCTCTCCCCCTCTCCCTTTTCCCTTCCCTCCCTCCCTCCCTCCTTTTCTAAAACAATGAAGAAATGCACCTGAGAATAAAAACAAAAAAAGAATTTCATTTACTTGTCAAGAATCTACCTTGGATATAGTGTGTGTGTGGGGGGGAGAATCTTCATTTTAAATACAATCTTATTCCTCTATTCTAATATATTTAAACTTTATAACATTCATATCACTTTTAAACCCATAATTTGGTGACATTCTAAAGTTTAAGAAAATTGTGTACAGCCCTGACTGGGTGGCTCAGTTGATTGGAGCATTGTTCCGATATGCCAAGGTTGTGGGTTCGATCCCTGGTCAAGGCACATACAGGAAACAACCAATGAATGCATAAATAAGTGAAGCAACAAGCCAATGTCTCTCTTTCTCGCTCCCTCACTCTCTCTTTCTGTGTGTGTGTCTGTTTCTCCCTCTGAAGTCAGTAAATAAAATTTAAAATAATTGTGTGCAGAAGTGACATTTTACATGGCAAATGCTTTCTGGAAGAGTATATGAGATCCTCTTGACCTATGTAAACTCATGTCAACCTACTGTGGTGTTTTTCCTAAAACTATCCTGACATCCCTGCTGTATGCAGATGCCCCCATCCCTGTGCCAACGGTAACAGCCTGATCTGTACCCAGTAAGCACGAATGTCCTGTGTTTCTTTCCCAACAGCAATCAGAAACGGAGACGGTCCATCTGTTTATCCCAGCCTTATCTGTCGGTGCCATTATCGGCAAGCAGGGGCAGCACATCAAACAGCTTTCTCGCTTTGCGGGAGCATCTATTAAGGTACTGCTCTGCCAGCTGCGGCTGTCCTGGTGCCCCATTGGTCAGTCTCAGAAGCGCGAGTCTTCTTGCCGCCTCATAATGTGAACTGAAGGTGCAGTCTCTCCTGAGGTTACTTAGTTTATTTCATATTAATGTTAGTTTATTTCGTATGCTACTCCAGTGACCATAATTGGGGGATATTTACTAGTTGTCTTAAATTGTGAACTTAACAGTTCCTCGCACACACAGGCAGCTTGCGGGGGGTGGGGGGCGGCATCCTGATGCACGAGGGCCAAGACCACTTCTGCGTGCCAGCGGGTCGGTGACTAGGAACAAGGGCCGTGGAGCTGCATACGGGCCCAGCTCTATGAGCTGTGCGTTCATGGGCCTGGCCACTCAGCGTCCCTAGACTTCAGCTTGTCCACGTGTGATGGAGAAGCAGTGCCTCATCCAGTTGTAGTGAGGGTGGGCTGAGGGGCTGCAAATGGACTTTTACATTAGGACCCGGCACGGTGTAAGGATGAGTATGTGGCAGGAGCCATTACTAATAAACCCGCATCAATCACTGCCTCTTCGTGGCTTCCTTCCAGAAGGCTTTCATTCTGCATTTTAGTAAGTCCCATCAAATGTCAGGCTTGTTTGGGGAACCTGCCTATCACTGCCACCTGACAGTATCATAACCCCTCGATGGGTCTGTTACAGATCGCTCCAGCCGAAGCGCCAGATGCTAAAGTGAGGATGGTGATTATCACCGGGCCCCCAGAGGCCCAGTTCAAGGTATGTGCTCCAGAGGCTGCGCACAGGCAACAAGGTGTACGCCGGAGACTGTGAATGCGCTCTTTTCAGGAGCTCCATAACCTGGCTGCTCCCTTAAATGTGTCTAATACCCAGCAGGAACAATTTCTCAGTGGTCCTAAGCCTAAGAACAGAGTAGAAACATACCCCCAATTACATTTCAAAAATAAACCAAAAGCCTTTGTTTTAATTTTGAGAGCTCTCCAGTGGTTGTTGGATTTGGATTTACCTATCCCCGCCCTTGAAAGAGAATTTGCTCAGTGCCTCCTTATCATGTGTGAAGGTGAGACCTTAAGGTGGAACTTTACAAACCTGCCTGGTTAATGTGCCCTGGAAAACTTGTTCCCAAGTTGTTCTTGTCCCTGAGAAGCCTTACCCTTGAATTAAAATGCTCCCTTTTCATCTTACCCTTGGATTGACTCTTAGTCCTTGTCCATAGTTTCTCCATGAAGTTACTCTAATCCTTCAAACGTTAGAGGCGGTTGTGGCATTGGTCCTGTGAACCAGTGCTCATATTCACTGAGGTTTGGGGCCTCTGGAGTTGGGATGCGTCGCAGTGTATACTGAAAGGTGGTGTAGCTGGGTGATAAATAGCAGACGCTTGGCAGCCATGTTGCTAGTTCAACTCCTAGCTCTGCCATTTACCAGTCTGTGACCTTGTGCAAGCTACTTAACCTTTCTCTTGCTAGTTCCTCATCCATAAAATGGGGATTTAAAGTTTAAATATATATAAGTGCTTAGACTAGTGCCTGACACATAGGAAGCACAATATAAGTGTGGTGGTGGTGGTGGTATTTAGCAGACTCGGGTGAATCAAACTAAGCCCCTGCCAAATCCTCAGATTCACAAATACATACCTTTGAGTTTATAATTTCTCCTATAAAACTTAGTATCTCTGTCATAGGCAAAAAGCAACTACTGAATCCTAATGAAACCGATGTACCCAAAACCCCTATTATTCTTATCACTTCACTGCTGTGCAACAACTCTTAACCTTAAACCTTTGTTCCCTTAGCTTCTGCTGTGGCTAAGAATAGTGCCTCCACTCCCCTCCCCCCTGTTTTAAACCCTCACTTTCTTTGACCTCTCTTGTCAATGGGCCGTTTTTCACCAAAAATACAAATTCACTTCATTTACAGGGAGAACAGGAAACAAAAGGAGCTGCTTTGAGATGTGGGTGCAGGTTGTCTAAACTCAAACTCAGGTCAACAAGTTGACTCCTTCACACCAGCCTTGTGGTCCATCCAGGCGGTTCAGATTATGTCAGAAATGTTGAAAATTGCTTCCTTTCCTGAACCTACAGGGTCAGTCACTTAGTTTGAAATCTTAAAAGACAACTATCAGGTATGACATGCTCCTCCTTGGGGGTGAGCTCTTCCATCTTGCAATTTCTAGGGTGTTTGAATGCTGGGAAGTTCAAAGTTTGCTTCCCTGTACCCTCCAGTGCCCACATTGTTGCACAGTTGTCTTAAATGGAACATTTAAGAAGAGTTCTAATGCTTAAATCTCATTCATGTGACCCGTGATAATTACAAATGAATTATTTTAGAGATCTAAGGAAGAGTAAACCTCCTAACCCATATTTTTCCTTCTGAATTCAAGATCTTCTGTTTTGGAGGATGATGTAGATCCTCAGTGTCTTTTATGCGAATAGCTACATCCGTGGCCTGAAACTGAGGATAAATGGAATATATACCAAGACTGGTATTTTTTCTCTCCTGTAACCCCCTAAAATGAGCTTATCATTTCTGCACCAATGAAAATGTGTTGCATACTTTTGTTGTGGTTTGCCCGGGCAGCTGGTCAAATTAAACCAACTCTGATTGCTTTTTCCTTTGGTGCAGAGCAGAGCAAATCAATGGCTGTACATCCTAGGAGAGGTTTCTTATGTGTAACTTCTAGTTGTATGCAGTAGGTGACAGGATGTCTTGACTGCAAATATCAGAAGTATATGTTAACTTGACTTTGTAGCCTTATCATTAAAAGCAGAAACCACCTGGCAAAGAGGAAGAAACTCTCTCTCTCAGCAGGTTTCTCACTGACCCGTTTAGACAAAAGCGGGCTTCCTGTGAGCCTGGCACAGCCCGCTCTGTGGTTCTTCCTTAGTCTTTTTTGCTCAAGAAAAATACAATTACTTCCTTATTGCCTGTAGGAGAGGTTTTCACTTGATGGAGAGCAAATGGCCATTTGCCCACAGAAATGGTTTACTTTTAGTTAGGATGACTACTAATTAACTGCCTTTAACTGCTGTTAGAAGAATTTGGTTTGTTCTTCTTTCATCAGTCATTCGGCCTTGTCTATGATGTGCAGTGACTGTCAACCTTTCCTAGGGCTCTCTCACTTCTCTGTCTCTTAAGCAATCTTCAGTCTATCCAATGCCGACATATCACTGCGAAGGCCCATTCCAGTGCTTCTGGGCCATCTTTAATGTTCATGGGCCTTTTGTGTTTCCTACACAAATGATGCTGACAGGATGTTTTCATCTGTAGGCTCAGGGAAGAATTTATGGAAAAATTAAAGAAGAAAACTTTGTTAGTCCTAAAGAAGAGGTGAAACTTGAAGCTCATATCAGAGTGCCATCCTTTGCTGCTGGCAGAGTTATTGGAAAAGGAGGCAAAACGGCAAGTACTTCAGCAATACCTGTGCAGTGGTATGAAAGGGAGAGCATTGAAAGGTACTTAGGAGTTCCAAGTCCCTGAATTTTGGCTAATTTATAAAAAGCAGGACCAGCTGGGCCAAGGTTTGGAGGAGATCGCCTTTTGTTCCTCCTGTCTGAGTGCTGGAGTAGCTGCTGGTCAAAGTGATGCCTCTCTTTCAGACCACTTTATGTGAGAAGACTCTCATGTTTATAAGGGGCATTGAGCATTTTTTGTTGTTGTTGTTGCTATAACTCAGCTTTTTAAATTTTTATTGCACAATGAAATAAAAAAACTTTAAGTTTCGTCTACCTAACTTGTACCTTTATAACTGAAGAAAATTGTTTCCAGTTTTTCTTTAACACTGGGTTGGCCAAAAAGTCCATTGAGTTTTTTCTGTAAAAAAAGACACATTTTTCCGTTCTCACCAATAACTTTAATGATTTGGATATTTTGAGTATGTCAGCTATCTCCTGCTATTGGCTTCTAGTGTGAGGAAGCTGCTAAACGTCTTCCAATGCATAACACAGCCCCACAACAAAGAATTATTTGGACAAAATCTCAATAGTACCAAGAAACTTCACAAATCACTTCTGACACGTCCAATCAGTCACAGCACTGTCTTCATATACTACACAAATCTCTTTGCATTTCAGTTACTTTTTACCTTTCTTGAGTAAAGCATAATACGCCAAAAGTGTTGAATTATCTTCTTCCATCTTCAATGTTCAAATGGCTGCACAAAAATTCACCATTTTTTTTTTTAAAGGCACCACTGATATGACAGCTGTCACGATCTAACAAAATTGTTTCAGATGAAGTTAAAGACAATTAAGCACTACTAGAGCCGTCCTATAGAGAAAACCAAATGAAATTTTTGGCCAACCCAATACATGTTAACTATGTTGTTTTCAAAGCTATTTACAGTTTTGAAGTGGTTGGGAGCGAACACTTTGGAAGCAGACCGTCAGGGTTTGAATTTGGTTTGCCAGTCCCTTCTGTAACTTTCAGCAAGTTAATTTCTTTGCTAAGCCTTAGTTTTCATCATCTTGCCACGCAGACAATATTAATATCCGGACAGAGTCATTAGTGGATTGGATGAAATTTGTGAAGCCACAGCTAATGTTTGGCACATAGTAAGTGCTGAGGAAATGGCAACTTAAAAAAAAACAACTTAACTATTTATATTAATCTTTTTCAGGTGAATGAGCTCCAGAATTTGTCTAGTGCAGAAGTTGTTGTCCCTCGTGACCAGACGCCTGATGAGAATGATCAAGTGGTGGTCAAAATAACTGGTCACTTCTATGCTTGCCAGGCAAGTGGGTTCTAACGTGATACGCAAGCTTTTTTGCTTCTTTCTCAAATGGAAGCAATTTTCCTATGGGTCCCCCCACCCCATATAAATATTTATGATTGTTTAGTGCCACTTAAGAGTTTTAATTTATTGATTTTTATTTTTTTCAAATGAGTCGGTTCCAGGCGGTACAGAATTCAGGATAGAACAAAGACTGAAGAACACACTTTGACAGGATTCTGGGCTGGGTTTACTCTGATTTCACAGCTAAGGTTGAAGTGGCAGAGAGAGAAGAACTAAAGAGATGAGCCACTGCATGATGATGATGATGATGATTTCTTTTCTACACAAGTTTATTAAATGTACGACAGGCTCCAAGACAACACTTCATTCTAGCTGTAGGTGGCAAGAGATGTATGACAAGGAATCCAGATGTTAAAACAGGAATGGAATTAAGGATCACCATTGCCCCAGGCACCAGGAAGAGCTCACTTTTTGCCAGATTTTTAAATTCCACCTATGGCCAAGGGGCTTTTAGCTCCTGGAGTTCCTTCTGCTCCTCTTTTGCTTCTGCTTGAAAGCCTATCTTCCTCGTCCATCTCCTTGGCCTGCTTCTTGGGCTGCTTCAGGGGCTGCTTCTTGCCACCTGTGCTGCAGGACGTGGCACTGCCACCCCTCCCCCGGCCCCCGCCTCGGGAAGCTGAGCGTCCCATCCCACGCCCGTGCCTATGCCTCCAGTGCAGGGCCCACCGATTCTAGTGCCACACACTTTTAATCCCTGTTTTAGCAGTGATTTCAGAGACTCTACTAGCAAATTAAATTAGTATGTATAATTAATCTTCAAATAGACTTCTATTTGAAGTTTTTGAAACGGAAAAGTAGTACAACTTTTAGTAACTTTTGACCAGGTAGAAATTTCAAAGCGCTGTCCTTTTGTAGGTTGCCCAGAGAAAAATTCAGGAAATTCTGACTCAGGTAAAGCAGCATCAACAGCAGAAAGCTCTGCAAAGTGGACCACCTCAGTCAAGACGGAAGTAAAGGCTCAGGAAACAGCCCACCACAGAGGCAGACGCCAAACCAAAGACAGATTGCTTAGCCAACAGACGGGCGGCTGACCCCTTACCCAGAACCACACGCACACGTTTTTACCTAGCCACTTGTTTTTCAGGACCAGGCAACTTTCGAACTCCTGTCTCTGTGAGAATGTATACTTTATGCTCTCTGAAATGTATGACACCCAGCTTTAAAAAGAAAAAAAAAAAAAAAAATAAAGGGGGGGAGGGAGGAAATGAGAGGAGCTCTGCACTTCCCTTTTGTTGTATTTTTCAGCATAACAAATATTCTAATTTTTCTTAATATTCCCCTGTAATGCAAGAGATTGGCTTAATGATGCATTCACTAAATTCATCAAATAAATACAAATAGATTGCTCCTAAGTCAGAACAGATTACAGGAACTTAAATATGTTAAGCTATTAGCATAGAAAAACTGTCTGTTTTGTTTTTATCTAACACTAACATGAATGACAGAAGGGAAGTGCTGAATGGTGTTGGCAGGGGTATTAAATGTGCATTTTTACTCAACTACCTCAGGTATTCAGTAATGCAATGAAAGCAAATTTTGTGTTTTTTTTGAAAATTTTATATACTTTATAAAGATAAAAGTCCAACTGTTTTTTAAAAAATAAAATTTAATTAGCTAACAGGCAAATAACTGAGAAAAATTTTACTTCTGGTGACAGTAAAGCTGGAAAATTAATTTCAGGTTTTTTGAGGCTTTTGACAGTTATTAGTTGGAAAATCCAATAAATGTTCAATGACGTGGAGCAGTGCCTATATTTGGAGAGCAGCAATACCATTTATTTTTTTCTTTTATGGTAGGGAAAGTTTTCAATGGTACTAACAGAGCAAAGTGGTTGCAGGTGGTTTTGGAATGGCTAGTTTAAATGGCTTCAGGAGACTTCATTTTTTTGTTTGGCTATGTGATTGAATGCATAAATGCTTTGTGCTTTTGACTATCACTACCTAAAGAAAGTGCATCAGTGAAGAGATGCAGCCCCTGTGGACTTCCACCCGATTGGCAGAGAGCAAGCCTCGGCTTGCCTTAGAGGGCGCTGAGTTTGCCAGTGCCCCTCCGAGCAGCTGGTTTCCCCTTTCCGCAGGCCCCAGGAGAATTGCTTTGTGAGGACCAGTGGGGCAGTCAGATGGTGTGACCGTGTTTAAGGGCAATAAAAGGCGATGTCTGCAAGTGCCAGGCACTGTCATGAGCCTCACTAAGCTGTTTTGAAGATTTTTAAACGATAAATCAAGTAAAATGAAAGGCCACCTAAAATAATACATAAAATGCAGCAGGATTTCTGTATTCTCTGCACCCAGTTATCGTAAGAAAAGGGTTTTTGGAATATAATTTGAATGACTGTGATGAGACATTTAACCTTTGATACTGAATTCATTTCTCCATTCCGTAACTTGATGGCAAAGACCAGGAGGTACAATTACGTGGTCGTGAGTGGTCTCCAAGGCCACACTGCTCTCAGAATTGTTGCTTTTGTTCATGAAACGATCACAGTCATCCTGTTACATGGACCTGAAGGACACACATAACCCCTTAAAAAATCATTTTGCCTCATTTGTATTTCAAGATGAATTTCTACAGACTAGGTAAGTTTTTCTGATGACCAGCATATCAGACATTTTGAAAATGACTTGAAATGTTTTCCTAAATGTTTTCAGAAAACCAGTTTATTTTGTAGTTTTAGCCAAAAAGTGCCCTTTTTGTCACGGAATTCACCTAGCATTCATAATTTTTTTTCCCCCCAAACAGTAAGTTGCTTAAAAAAAATCATGGACTGGCTTTCTGGTTGGTTTTTGGGTGAGATGTGATGTGCTCATGGCCAGAGCTCTTCCTCAGCATTTGATTTTTCCAATATTTGTTGGGTTTTTGTTTTTTGTTTTTTTTAACTACAGATAGGTGCTACATTTATATCTGCTGGTTTAAATTCTGTCATATTTCACTTCTAGCCTTTTAGTGTGGCAAATCATGTTTTCCTTTCAATTAAGCATTGGTAATGGAGTATCTGGTAATAGCTAGGAAATAATTCTGTAACTGAGTTTGTACTCACTGCATATGGATCATTCCTCATTTGTAATGTGCCCCAAATGCAGCTTCACTTTCCAGATACCTTGATACAGAATAAAGTTTTTCATCATTAGGTGCAGCTTGATTTGTAGTATGTTTTATTTTTGGTCTTTTCAAATAAATGTGAATATAATTTATAAATAAACAGATTTTTAGAAATACTATGTAATCGAGTTAAGCACCAATAACTACTGGTAAATTATTTTCTCCATTCCATGGTACTTTAATGTAAATCTTGATAATACTGTTGGATATGAACTAAGAACTATAGGCTTTAAGTAAAGTTTGGCTAGTCTGTTCTACATAATACTACTTACCCTTTAGCTCTCTGCTCAGATTTTAATTAATTTTGCTTAAGTGAAGCACAGGGACCCCAGATAGCTACAGGGAACCTGCTGGGCTAGCAGGAATAAAGGCATGGTTAAACTGTAGCTGGCGGTCATTCACTTACAGTCTCCACATCCGGATGTCAGTCAGCTTGAGTGCCTGGAGTCGGAAGACTTGTTTTGACAACTTACCCAGTTAGGTGGTGTTTATGAGCTATATTTTGAGAAGTGATTCAATCTCAATCTGAAATGACTAAAACGGTATTTTATTCACATTTGAACTCCACTGGAGTCAGGGGTGAAGTGTCATCTTCTATTCCAAGAATGAAGTCTTCAGGTAATATCTCAGGTGCTATCTGAGCTAACTGGTCATCATAAGAACGTAGGGTCCATAATTTCTCTAGTTCATACTTTTCTCTGGTTTCTGGAAGCATCAAATGAATCACCATGCTGCCTGTCAAGGACAGATAAGAGTTACAGTGACAAAGTAGCCTGTTTGCTGCTATTTTTGTGACCTCACAACCCTCTGTGATAGTTTATTACTCAAAGTGTAACCATAGGAACTCGAGCAGTGGTTTTCTAGGTGTGGACCACAGAGGAGCATCAACTGGGAGCCTGTTTGACCTACAAACCGTGGACCCCATCCAGCAAAATACCATGGAAGTGTAGCTGTGTTTTTGTCAGTGCATTACACAGAAGGTACATGCAACCAGTGTGTACCATTACTAGTGTTAACTTCAGTTTGACTTCATCCAAGTGACTAAAGGTGAGGCCTGTTAGCTTTCTTTTGGGAGACAAGTTTCCAAATGTGTCCATTTCTGCACATCCTATGAGTGAAGCACTGCCTACCTTTTGTTCTAGGCTTTTTCAAAGATGTTTTATGGTGACTAGCCTCAGAGAGATACTATCTCTCTGGAGCAAAGAGCAGGTTTGCTTGCAGCAGTGGTTCTCAATCTAGGACATTTTTGATTTTCACAGTTGGGGGCGTGGTTAGAGAAGGGGAGGGATACTGCTAAACACCCTACAATGCATAGGCTATTCCTACCTATTCCCACTAAAATTTCCTGGTCCAAATGTTCATAGTGACAAAGCTGAGAAACCCTTACAGCCTTGCCAGAAAAGTGTCTTGCACCAGAGCGAATGCATGCCTGCTTCTTGCCCATTACAAACCCTGACCTCAGGGTTCCTCTGTCACAACTGAGCGGGAGGCCCTGCGTTGCACTACAGCAGCTGGGGCACAGGGAACCTGGTGTGGAAGTGCCGCAGCTGGCTACCGCTCCTGGGAGTACGTAAGAAACTGCCCTTCCACTCTCGCCCGGGAATAGTCTTGGATAGTCTTGAGTCTTTTACCAATATCCACAAAACTCCCCAGCTAAATTGTTAGTTTACAAGTAAGATAAAATCTCAGACCCCTCATAGTTCTCCACAGTTACTTTTTCCTCTTTGTAATTATCATCTTGTGGGAAAATACTTTGAAACTATGTATATATCAATACCCAAATCTGTTAGGTCTTTCAAACTTCCAGTCCTGTGCCTGGAATGCCCTTCAGCTTCAACTTGGCCAGGTTCTTGAAGACAAGGATATGTGTACCCCACGCCTTCTTCGGCCAGTAAGGGATCTTCTCCCATCTCTACCCTGTTATGCATCCTGGTCTGTGTCATCTTTCTGACCCCTGTGACTCATTATATACATTCCAGTTTAGGTGAGCATTTCACAGGTGAGTAAGACCACCTGGCTTATGATGCAACAAACAATTCAAAAATTTTACATGGAAAAAGGATTGATCTCAATCATTTTGCAACTGAAAACAGTTCAAGGTTAATGCATGCCAAATGTTTATCTGTAAAATGTGCCTAAATAACTTACCAAAGTCCACACACATCCAGTCATCAGTCTCCTTTCCTTCAATCTTCACATGTGGTTCACTTTTACATTTTAGGAATTTGTACTGAAAAAGAGGTCATATATTAAAGGGGGAAAGGATAAGAGAAATCTGATCTTACTGAGGGTCTGATGGTATTTTTCCTTGGTCTTAATTTGGGACCTAATTTGCAATGTTCCTCATACTTGGACCCATAATAATAGGGAGCCCTGGCCAGATGACTCAGTTGGGTGGAGGGTCATCACATGCATCAAAAGCTTGTGGGTTCAGTTCCCAGTTGGGGTGTGTATAGGAAGCAACTGGTCTGTCCCCCCAACACCCCCACCCTCCTTCCCTCTGAAATCAGTGAGCATGTCCTCAGGTGAGAATTGAAAAAAATATATAAAAAAATAACTCAGGGAAACTAGTTTTCCCCCTAAATCACTCCCCCCTCCTACACCTCTCTCCTGAATCCAGGCCAAATCCATCTGATAGGGCCACTCCACCCATTCACCAGTGTGTCCAGTGCACAGAGAGGCCTGGGCTCATTCAACGTCAAGCTCACCCAGATCGCCCCTCCTGTCCGTGCCAGCCTGCCTTCCCTCTCGGGGCAGGTGCTGCGTTCCCGCTTTAAGGCTAGGTCTTCTCAGTCCATTTCAACTACCTCTATGACAATGTCAATGGGACTTTATCATCCCATGTCCCTATTCCCAACAGATACACTAAAATCAGAAAATATGCTTTAAGTCTAAAACTATTACAAGAGACAAAGGACATTAATGATAAAAGAGACAACTAACCGAGATGACAGAACCACTAAGAACATATGCACCAAAAGTCAGAGCTCCTAAACATAAAACACTGACAATTGAAAGGAAGAGATGGTAACACAAATATAGAAGATTCTTTCCAATAATGGGCAGAACAACCAGACAGAAGATCAATGAAGAATAGAAGACTTGAACACTACAGAGCCATTGGACTTAACAGACATTAACAGAACACTGCACCCAACAACAGCAGAATATATATGTTTAAGTATACGTGGAACATTTTCCCAGATCATGATGTCAGACAAGTCAATAAATTTTTAAAAATTGAAATCATAAAGTGTATTTCCTCAGCACAATGAAAAACAAGACATCAACAGAAGGAAAACTAGAAAATATACAAATAAGTGGAAATTAACAGACTTTCAGGAAAACAATGGATTAAATCACAGGAAATATCTTGAGACAAATTAAAAGATAACATACCAAAACTACGGGATGCAATGAACAGTGTCAAGAGGGTAATTTATAGCGATAAATGCTTACAGGTGAAAAGCCCCCAAATTAAAAACTTGAACTTAAACCTAAAAGAACTAGAAAATGAGGAACAAATTAAAACTAGCAGGAAGAAGGAAATAATCAGAGAAAAAATAGGGCAAAAATCAATGAAACCAAGATTTGGTTTTTCAAAAAGATCAATAAAATTGATAAAACTTTAGCTGGATTGACAAGTGAAGAAATTGAAGATCCAAATAACTAAAATCAGAAACAACTGAGAGGACATTACTATCAAGTTTAGAAAAGGAGAAAGGATTATGCTATGAATGATCTTATGCCAGCAAATTGGATAACCAAGATGAAATGAATAAATTCCTAGAAACACAACCTACGAAGACTGAATCATGAAGAAAAGTAAGTCTGAACAGACCTATTTAGTAATACTTACAGGACTGAGTCAGTAATCAGAAACCTCTCAACACAGTTATGTCTCAATTTTAAAAAGCGGGGGTGTTGGGGGAGTTTGACCAGTGTGGCTCAGGTCACCGGGCATCCTTCAAAGTGAAACATTGCTGGTTTGATTTCCAGTCGGGGCATGTGGCTGGGTTCAGTCCCCTATTGGGGCACTTATGAGAGACAACTGATCCATATTCCTTTTTCACATTGATGTTTCTCCCTCCCTCCCCTTTGTAAAGATAAATAAATCTTTAAAAAAATAAAAACATACAGGGGAAAAAGTTACTAACAAAGGCTTTGCTTGTAAATTCTAACAAATATTTAAATAAAAGCTAACAAATATTTCTTAAACTCCTCCTAAAACATACTGAAAAGAACACTTCCTAACTTCTCTGAGATTTGCATTACCCTGACACCAAAGCCAGACAAAGACACTATTAGAAAACTACAGACCAGAATCTTTGATGAATACTGATGTAAAAACCCTCAACAAAATACCAGCACACCAGTTCAACAGCATATTGAAAAATATATACACAACCACGTAGGATTTATTCCTGGACCATAAAGATGATTGCACATGAAATCAGTATAATAAATCATACAAACAAAATGAGGGACAAAAACCACAGGACCATCTCAAATTTGTGTAAAAAAAGCTTTTAACAAAATTCAACATCCTTTTATGATACACTCAACCAGATAAGAATAGAAGAATAGAATATCTCAAGAAGATAAAAGCTCACAGCTATTATATTCAATGGCAAAAGACTAAGTTTTCCCTCTAAGATTCGTAACAAGACAAGAATGCCCCACTTTTGCCCCTCTTATTCAACATAGTACTGGTATTCTAGCCAGAGCAATAAAAAAATAAAGGTATCTAAATTGGAAAGGAAGAAATAAAATTATCTCTCTTTGTAAAAACATGATCTTACATGCAGAAAATCCTAAGGATTCTATGAGAGACGGCCGGGGAGCAGGGGGAGAACCATTAGAACTAATCAATGAATTCAACAAAAGTGTAAGATTAAAAAAATCAACACACAAAAATCAGTTGCATTTCTATAAACAATGAAAAACCTGAAAAAATTCCATCTACAACGGAATCAAAAGAATAAATACTTAGAAATAAACTTAACCATAAAGGCCAAAGACTTGTCTGCTGGAAACTACAGAATGATGCTAAAAGAAATTAAAGACACCAATAAATGGAAATACCCTGCTTTCATGGATTGGAGGACTTAATATTGTTAAGATGTCAACATTTCCCACAGTTACCTACAAATTCAATGTAATCCCCATCACAATCCCAAGTGACTTTTTTCCCCCAGAAAAAGTTGATTCTAAAATATGTATGTAATTTAAAGGACCCTAAATAGCCAAAACAATTCTGAAAAGCTTACATGGTTAGAGGTCTCAAATGTCCTGATGTCAAAACTTAAAAGCTGCAGTAATCAACTGTGATCAAGGTAGACATATAAAATATTGAAATAAAGAAAGAGCCCGCATGTCCAAATGATTTTCAACAAGGGTTTTAAATCCCTTCAGTGGGGCAGAGGCAACCTTTTCAACAAATGGTACTGAGAAAACTAGGTATCTACATGCAAGAAAATGAAGTTGGACCCTTACCTCCAGGGGTGTCTCACCTGCAGGCCACAGGCCGCGTGCAGCCAGGATGGCTGTGAATGCAGCCCAGCAGAAACCTGTAAACTTACTTACAACAGTATGAGATTTTTTTTGTGATTACGTGTTGCAGTGTATTTAACATGTGCCCCAAGACAACTCTTCTTCCACTGTGGCCCAGAGACACCAAAAGGTTGGACCACCCTGGGGGTTTACACTGTCTACAAAAACCACTTCAAAATGGAGAAAGACCTAAACGTAAGACCCAAAACTATAAAATTCTTAGGAGAAAACACAGTGGAAAAGCTTTGTGACATTTGATCTGGCAATGACTTCTTGGATATGACACCAAAGTCAAAGGTAGCAACAACAAAGATAAATGCACTGGACTTTATTCAAGTTAAAACCTTTTCTGCATTAAAGGACACTATCAACAGAGTAAAAAGGCAATCTACAGAATGGGAGAAAATACTGCAAATCACATTTGATACCCAGAACATACAGAGAGCTCTTAAAACTTCCCAGCCTGATTGAAACATGGGCAAATAACTTGGAGAGGGATGTCTCTATAAAGATATACAAATGGCCAATAAGCACGTGAAAAGATGCTCAGTGTCACTAATGACTATGCAAACCAAAACCACAGTAAGATACCACTTCACGCCCATGAAGATTACTATTATCAACAAGTCAGTAAATAACAAGTGTTGGCAAAGATGTGGAGAAACTGAAACCCCTATGAACTGCTGGTGGGACTGTTAGTGGTTCCTCAAAAAGTGAAAAATAGAATTATCATGATCTGGCAATTTTACTTGTATTAAAAGCAGGGACAGGACAGTCAAATGGTGGAGTAGATAAATCCTGAACTCCCTCCCATGAACAAATCAAAATCACTACTAAATTATAGAACCATCATCACTGAGAAGCACCTGAAGACTAGAGGAACAGGATTCCTCTAAGGATACAAAGTAGAAACCACATCAAGGTGCAGAGGAGGGGCCAAGATGTGGTGTGAACAGGTCCCACACCCAGGGTGTCACAACCAATAAACAGGCTGTCCAAGCCTCCTGAGCCTGGAGCAGCCACGAAGGGTAGGAGGAGCACATAACATCTGGATCTGGCTTTGAACACCAGCAGGGATACATCTGAGGGAGACCAGGAGCCGCGGGGGACTGCAACACTGTTCTTAAAAGGTTCACGCACAAACTCACTTGCTCCGAGCTCCAGCGCAGAGGGGGCAGTTCAAGAAATGCCTGGGTCACTCAGGGAAGCATTAAATCGATGAACTTTAGGGTGGGAACTCTCTTGGGACAAAAAGACCTGGCACGTGCCACTGTTCCTTTGTTGAGCTCTCCTCCTGCACAGCTGGCAAAAATCTGTCCCTCCCCATTAACTTGGCTGACACCGTTCACCTGGTTCGGGCGTTTCCCGGAGACCCTGCCCCACCCAAGCCCCTCTCCCCGCTGGAGTCTCCTCTGGAGACTCCATTCAAGTCGCTGGCCTCGATGGGCACTGCAGTCTCTCCCACGCCCTCTCGGGCTCGGCACAAGCTGTGGCTCGACACTCCTTGCACTGCCGCCTCTCCCGAACGCCCTTACGCTCGGCACAAGCGGCAGCTGCCCACCTCAGCTTGCACTGCAGCTCCTCCCGGGTGGCCCCAAGCCCGGCCCGAGTGCGGGTCAACCACGGCTAGCGCTGGAGCCTTTTCCGAGGATCATCACGCTTGGCACAAGTGCTGGCCAGCCCTGGCTCACACTGTAGCCTCTCCTAAGAGGCTCCAGATGCCACACACCCAGCGGCTGGCCTCAGAGCGACACTAAAACAACTCCTGCTCCACAGGACCAGCCCCCCAACAACAGCTAGTCTCCTGTACCCGCAGCTGGTCCTCATGGGGTTACTGTTTAATGTGTACAGGCACCAAGCTCAGTTTCCAGCCTGCTTGTTTTACCACCCTTCTCCTGGCAATCCCAACTATTTTTGGGGGTCTTAATTGTGCCCTCTATGACCAATTTTCAACAAGGCGAGAGACATATGTTTCCCTGTAAAGTGATATAAGAATCAGGTAAAGGTTGTCAAGTACATTTTCTTCCTCATTCTGATTCATGTTCAGTCCAACTGGAAAATGAACGGCCTCCCCTTCCCTCATCTGTGAATTCAGGGGGGCAAGGACTAAATCTTTTTCATTTTCTTCTTCCCAATACCCAGCGCAGTACTTGGGAACACCGGACATGCTCAGAACTAAACTCTAGGTCAGCACTGTCCAGTACAACGTTTTGGAATTACAGAAATGTTTCACCGTCACGCTGTGTGCTATGGCAGCCAGCCATTAGTCACACGTGGCCAGTGAGCACCTGAAATTTGGCCTGGTACAACGGAAGAACTGAATATTTAATTTTAATTTATAATTAAGGAGTCACATGTGGCCAATGGCTATCGCACTGGACAGTGCTGCTCTAGAACTCCCTCTGGGGTATACTGCCGTCTTCTAGTCTGCCTCAGGTTATTTTTTAGTATTGTTTTCCTTGTGGTCATTAGACACAAGAATTAAAAATACCGTGATTCACTAGGGCTAAACATTGGTCCCCATAACCTTCACTATCAAAGAATATAAAACACTCATTCAAATTCTGAAAATTCGGGTTTCTTATACAATCTCATTGACGGGTTTACTTTTCACGCATTACTCCTCGACCTTTTGAACTCACACCATTCCACCAGTTAACGGTTCCAATAGGAAAAGCAAGCATCCTACCATTTTCACGATGTAGTAGACCACGGCATGTAAGTGTCGGGTAGAAGTTCCACTAGCAACCACAAAGTAATCTGCATATTTCATTTCCGGAGGAACCTTGATCACACAAATGTCTCGTGCATTTTCTTGCCTTAGCAGTGAGACCAGCGTGTCAATGTCAAACTTGGGGCCAGTGTGATCTGAAATGCACAAAGGTTTGCTTGTGTCAGGTGGATGAGTAGGAGACAGGGTGCGCAGGCGGCGACACAGGCAACTGACAGTGAAACTGCTCTTCCATGAGGGTATTTTGATTTAAAATGTTTCGAAAGACAGCAGGGTCCAGGCCTCCTGGAAGCTGAGCCTGGGCAGTGGGTTCCTTCACATAGCACTGCTCTGCTTTTATGGGAAGGGTGCTCAGGCTACACAGAGCCATCCTTCACTACTACCGCGTGCAAATAGACCCGCACCAGCAACAAATGAGTTTTTGTTAATTAGTACTTGAGGAAATGAGCAATATACCTCTGACATAGAACTGTCAGAGAAAGAAAGGAAAAGAACAGCACAAGTGGAGTGGGGGGGGGGGGCACGGTGATATTCTGGGGCATATTAAATTGAATCCCAGACATAAAGGGTCACAAAACTAGTATTGTGAGCTGGAAGGGCACTTTTTAGCTGGTTCCCAACCTTCACTTGATGAAAATGCAGGCCGAGCAGATGACGTGTGGGCCCTCAAACCAACCAATGGGAGCTAAATGTTTAAAAGCAATTCTTATTTTGAACCTTCAAGTTTTTCTTATAAAGCCATTTGGGTTATGGAACCACCATTATCCGTGAGAGCCTATCCCCCCGCCTCCGCGCCTCCCCGCCCCACCCCCCCGCCCGTCCCGTGGAGCTGTAGATATTTTGCTCTTCACTTTGGAGTATTACAGCCTCTAAGTTTAGAGCTTTACGTTCCACAGCGGACTCCCAACGACCACTAGGTCCCTTAGTTAGGCTGGTCCCTTAGTTAGGCTAGTCCCTAACACCTCCCTCTCTCATACCCTAGCCTTTCGCAGATGTGATCTATTTACCACCAAAGTTTCTAAAAGCCTCGCGTGATTAGAGGACCTTAAATTAGCCCCACATCCTCTCAGCGCTTCGTACCCCCTTAGCTCCCCGCCCCAGCACTCTGGACAAACCCATTTCTCAAGCCCTATGAAGAGTGTGAAGGGGAGTGAGGGCGGTGAGGTTGTGATGCCAAGGGCCTGGTGTGGCCCTTCGCAAGTGCTGGGGTGTCGGAGCTCGCAGCTCATCTCCTGACCTCACAGTTTCTCCACTGTGAAATGGCAGAGTTGGCGCCAACCACCTTTCAAGTCCATTCCAGCTCTGAATCTGCAGGAGTTTCGTGACTCCAAGAGAAATGCATAAGGAGGGTAACTCAGAGCCTCCTGAGCCGCGATCTGGCTTCCGGCCGCCCGCAGGGGAACGCGGCCGCCTTCCCCCGCGCCCGTACCTGCAGGGCGTGATTCCGGGCGTCCCTCGCTGACTGCCCCCAACGTCTGCTCCTCCAGGGCGGGCCCGCCGAGCAGGCCGCGCGCACGGTCGGGGGTCAAGCAGGCCCGGCCGAGCGCTGGTCCCGCGGGAAGCTGCCCCGAGGCCAGCAACCGAAACCGGGACGCAGCGCCCACAGGGGAAAGGGCCCTACAGCCTAGCAGCGTCCAGAGCTGCCGAGCCACAAAGCCTCTCGGCCCCATTGCCGTCGCCGCGAGGCGACTCACGGGGCGGAGCTTAATGGAGTCAAAGCCGCTTATGCAGCTTTCGATTGGCCAGGTCCGGGCGGTGCGGCCTGGAGTATCGACGTAAGGAGCGTGGGCGGGACCAGGTTCCGAAGGCGGGGCCGTGGGCGGGGTCTGAGCCCCAGCGGTGGCCCGGGGGAACTGACTCGGTCTGACTTGTCGTAGGAGTCTGACAGCTAGTGATTCCCCACATTGCTCTGCCCAAGGTCATAGTGCCACACAAAGTCATCCTTGCCTTTTTCTGGATGTAAATTTCACGAAGGGAGGAATTTTTTTTTAAATATTTTATTTATTTTTAGAGAGAGGGGAAGGGAGGAAGAAGGGGAGAGAAACAGCCATCGGCGGCCGCTCGCACATGCCCTTAACCCTCCCAGACAACCGGGAATTAAACCAGTGAGCCTTCTGTTTGGGGGACGATGCCCAACCAACCGAGCTACACCGGTCAGGGCAGTGACTCTTTTCATACAGTAATAAAGTGAAGGAAGGCAGCAGCCAGAAGCTTTGAAACACAGCTCGTCCGCTGAAGCGGTCTTGTGTTCAAAGCCGAGCTGTGTGCCGTGGCCCAGCGCGGAGTCAGTGACTGGAACGCTTCCATGGCTGCCTCTCTTGTTAGGAGGTTCCAGGGTGATAGAAGCCATTTCATAGATGAGGTGAAGGACATTTTGGGCGGGTGCCATCAACAGCCACTGTGAACCCAACTAGAAATAACTTCAAGTTGGCAGGTGGGTTTTGTAGAAAAAGGCAAGTAGGTCAGGTCTTGAGGCTTCAAAGCTCTAGGCAGTTTTGAAACGAATCGCTTAAATTTCATCCGTATGAGGTTGTTCAGACCACACATGAGGAAAGAAAAGATTTAATAACTCATTCTTTTAAAATATTATTTTAAACAAACTTTCCAACATACAGAATAGTGGTGAGAAAAACGTGAATTTCCCAGAGTTAGCACATCTTTTTGCCATATTTTCAGATCTCTTTCCCTTCAGAAATAAAATGTCACAGATTCAGCAAACGCCCCTTCACAACCCCCTCTAATCCCAGGCCCTTCTCCATTGTTAGTGATGACCACTCCCCTGAATTTGATGTGTTCCATTCCCATGCACATTTCTATTCTTTAACTTCCTATGTAGGCATAAACAATTGAGAGTATGTTTTTAATTTTGTTCAAATATCATGCTGTACTAATGGCTTGTTGTTGACATATCGCCGCTCTTTGTATTTGCATTTCCCCAGTTACTGGTGTGGTTGGGCATCTCTTCACATGTGGATTGGCATTTGGATTTCCTTCTCTGTGGGTTTTCTGTTCATGAAACTTTGCCAGTTTTCCCCTATGACTTGTGATTATTTAAAGATTCTTTTAGACGTTATTTCATTCCACTTAAAAAAAAAGTAAGTGATATTTGCAATGTACTGAAGAATACATACAGCGTATAGATGAAGTGTAAAGAAGAATAAAACAAACCCACCAGTCAGCTTAGCAAAACAAGTCCCCCGATTGCTGCTTACACAGCCCCCGTTCCTCCTCCCTGGAGACATCCACTGTGCTGAATTTCATGGAGTAATTCTTTCACCTTCTATTCTATAGGCTTAAAATGTATGTTTGTGTACATTCTCATTTTGTTTAGTTTTCCATGTTTTTGAATTTTTAAATGGTATCATATTGTGTATTCTTTGGCAACTTGCTTTTTCTGTCAACATTACATTGAGGAAGAGGAAGAGGTGAAAGTCTTCCTCTTGGTGTTTATAGCTGTAGGTTTATTCGTTTTCATTGATGCATGGTATTCCATTGTTTATCTCAACTGTTTTATCCATGCTACTGTTGAGAGACACTTGGGTTGCTTCTCATGCTGCTCTGAATGTGCTTGTCCATGTCCCCTGGAGCACGTGCAAGGGTTTCTCTAGGGCGTTCGATACCCAGGAGTGAGATTGCAGGATCATAGATACGTATATCTTCAATGTCACCAGATAATGCTAGATTATTTCCCAAAACCACTGTTCCATTTTAAACTCCCAAGAGCAGGGTGTATGTGTTCTGGTGTTCTCACTTTCACCAACACTTAATTTTGTCAGATTTTTTTTTTTATCTATGCCAGTCTGAAATGATGTCTCATTGTATGATTTGTGTTTCCCTAATAATTTTTTTTTGTATAATCTAGGCACTAATCTTTTACCAGTTACATGTATTGAAATTATATTCTTCCAGTCAGTGACTTTTCATTTTTAATCAACTTTATTGAGGTATATTTATATAAGATAAACATAACCAATTTTAACCCTAAAATTTAATGATATTTGGCTAGTGTATGCAGTTGTGAACCATTACAATTGTGGTATAAAATGTTTCCTGTGCCTCCCAAAGTTCCCTTGTGCTCACAGTCAATCTCCTCCCCCAACTTCTAGTCCCAGGCAAGTACTGATCTGCTGTCAATCATTATAGTTTTGCCTTTTCCAGAATATCATATAAACAGTCTCATTCATTATGTCTGGCTTGTTTCATTTAGCCTAAAGCTTTTGAGATATATCCACATTGTTCCATCTATCAATAGTATGTGCTTTTTTTATTGTCAAGTAGTGTTTCATTTTATGGACATATGACATTTGTTTATCCATTTACCAGTTGGTGGAGATTTAGGCTGTTTCTAGTCTGTGACTATCGCAGATAACATTATCATGAACATTTAGGTACAAGTTGTTGTATGAAACTACATCCTAATTTCTCCTAAGTAAAGACCCAGGAGTAGAAAGGCCAGATTATGTGGGTACGTGGTTACCTATATATTATCTTTATTAAAAAATTGCCAAACTATTTTCCAAACTACTGTTTCCCATCTTGCACATTCACCAGCAGCATATGAGAATTTTGTGGGTATTTTTAAACAAGAAGTTTGTGGTGTCTTTTTCATACAGAACTTTAAAATGTAAAATAATTTGAAATATCAATCTTTTTCTTTACGGTTGGTTTTTTTAGGGGATTTATGAAATTCTTCATCATTTGCTTTTCATGTTGTGATTTTCCATTTTGTAATTTCTCCTGAGAGGATTATCAGATTTGTTTTTCTTCAGAAAGTCTTTTTAGACATTTTCCTATAGCTAACTTGGCAACAAACACTTCACTTACTTTGTCAGATAGTACAGTGCTTGTTGTCATTATGGAATAATGTGACGTTAGACTGAGGGTAAGAGCTGCAGGCACTCAGTTAAGAAAATTATATTTCACATAATTGAAGATCTCTGAAGGATTCTTGTTTTCTCAGTTCAGTTCAGAATGGAGTTCAACAATGCTTTCAAATAGTTCAGCAGACTTCTTTGTAAAGGACGAAATAGCAAATGTTCGAGTCCATGTAGACCATACGTGACCACTGTGCCAACCACCGGACTCCACTGTAGAGCAAAGGCAGCCACTGACAATGAATAAATAAATGGGTGTGGTTGTGTGTGCTAATCAGCTGTACTTATGGACACTGAAATGTGAACTTCAGGGAATTTTTATGTGGCACAAAATAATATTCTCTTAACTTTTTTCAAACAAAAAATATAAAACTGCAGGGGGAAGGGGATGGGTAGAGGTGGCAGAGGGTATGGGGGGATAAATGGTAATGGAAAAATTAAATTAAAAAAAAATATATCTCCTAACTTTTGCTTGTGGTGCAGGGAATTAACAGGCGGAGAGCCAGGTGTGGCCCGTACACCACAGTGCCAGCTGTTAATTTAGGATATAATCCTCCTGACATCACTGTAAGGAAACTGGGTAATATCCTCCCGATTTTGCACAAGCATTCGAGCTCAGGGACCTTAGAATTCACCAGTTTAGCTTCCCTCTCTTCCTCCTTCCCTCCATTTTATAGATGAGTTCTCAGTGCACCAAGGGACAATGCCTGGCTTAAGCCCTCCCTACCTTCCTCTACTCAATTCCAAAAACAAAAATTTAAAACTATATCCACAGCCACAAAATCCTTCTGCCACATTCTCATCAGTAGTTAATCTTTCTTTTATAGAAAGAATATGCTAAAGGAATGTATTCTAATAAACACCTTAAAATAGCCCTAGCTAGTGTGGCTCATTCAGTGGATTGAGTGCTGGGCTGCAAACCAAAGGGTTGCTGGTTCAATTCCCAGTCAGAGCACATGCCTGGGTTGCGGGTCAGGACCCCAGTAGGGGGCACGTGAGAGGCAATCACACATTAATGTTTCTTTCTCTCCTTCCCTTCCCCTCTCTCTAAAAATAAATAAATAAAGTCTTAAAAAAAATTGAAGGACTCATTAAGCTCATCTTCATATTTAATTGTATCATTAAAACCTGTACAATGCAGTCAACAGTGACAATTGCATTGTAAATTTGAGAGAAGTTTTGAGTAGTGAGGTAACATGATACTATCTCTGGGAAAATTATACAGAGAATTAAAATTGGTTAAATACCAATACCAAAATTCCATTAATGTACTAAAATCCCAAAAAGCCTATAGATCTCCAAAACAAATTTTACTCCAGAATTTCAAGGACAAAGGGAACCGCAGTTCAGTTATACAGAGCAGAGGAATTGCTTCTGAAGATGAGGTTGAGGTCAATGGGGTTGGCGCAAATGGGTGTGTGTCAGCGCATGCGCACGTGCAGAGGGCGGGGTGGGACGGGCTCCAGGCCAAAGGTCAGCGCTCACTGCAATGAAAACTTGAATCCAAGCTCCAAGCAGAGTCCTTGCCTCTCATTCCTTGGTTGTGTCCTCTCCAGACCAGAGCCTGGGACATACTGGTGCTCAGTCAGTGATGGTTGAAGGATCAAAATCAGCCTGCAAAAGGTGAGAGTCTTGGGAACTGGCCTGAATTTTTAGGGTACCATTTCCAGCAGCTAAGAGACAAGTCTTTAAAAAAAAAAGAAAGAAAGAAAGAAAAACCTTAAAGGATGTTTCCCCAACCAGGAGCCCCATTAGAAGGTGATCACCTCCCCCCTCAACCCCATGACTGTCTTTTTATCTGCCCTTAGCCTGCCACTAACTTTTGAAGTTATTATACACCCGAGGTATAATGAATGCATTGACAATACTGCCTCCGAACCGCTGAACAATTGAAAATTCAACTAGGGCAACCAATGTTTGTAAGTGAGTCAGAAGTGTTTAAAATGCAGACATGCATAGGAAGTCCTAGGAATAAGAAATTCCCAGAATAATTTATCACGTTCGCATTTCAATTTTCTTGGGGAGTTCTAATTCTCAGCAAACGTTAATTGTCAGCCCACTATCTTTTAGGTTATTCCCCCACTTTTACAGATAGCCATTCAGCGGAAGTTAAATGACTTGTTGCCAAGGTCATATGGAGAATATAAATCTAAATAATTCATGATTTCAGCTCGCTCTCTCCTGCTATTTGTTAGATTGAAATGTAGGGAGGCTTGATGAGGATTTTGACCGTCTCTCAACCCGCTTCTTCGGTGACCGACCGGATGTTTGCTGCTCTCTGCTACCCCCTGTTGGTAGGAGATGGAAAGTTGGGATCGCAAGATCACAGTTCTCAATGTTAGGTGCTGACAGCATTACCCAGAACTACTGAGAAATCCAAATTAGGGGGCCCCACCCCAGAACACTGAATTAGAAACTTGGGGGGTGGGGCTCAGGAGTCCGTTTAAGCAAACCTCCAAGTGATTCCGCTCCAACATGGAAGTATTTTTCTGCATAGGTACCAGTGTCCTGGCCTCCTACTCATCATAAGAATGACGAAGCATCTTCCCACTGCTTCTGTCCCCAGGCCTCATGTATGATATGTATCTCTGTGGCATACACAAAGGCCTCTCATGCCCACTCATGCTTTCAGATAGGCCTGCAGCAGCCCTGAGCAAGAGCGAATGAGGGACCACGTATGCATTTTACAGATGAGGAGACCGAGGCTCAAGGAAGGCCAGATAACTTGTTGAGGGTTACTCACCTTTAAGTGGCAGGGCTGGGCCTGCATCCAGGTCTTCTGTCTTTACATCCACGCCCAGGGTTTCTAACATTCTGGACCAGATAATAGGGACTGCTCTGTAGCCGGGGCTGACCTGCAGCGTGTCGGAGGTTTAGCAGCGTCCCTGACCTGTACCAGCCAGATGTCAGTGGCATCTCACCCTGGGAGTGACAACCAAAAATGTCTCCTGATGTTACCAATGTCTCCCCAGGGGCAGAGTAATGCATGGCTGAGAACCGGCGACCTACAGCCAACACACAAATGGGGAGAAATTTCACAATTCCCATTCTGTAAATGTACTCTTTGGAGATGATTTCAGAATAAATAGCTTATTTTTGGCTGCTAGGCAATCTATGAAGTGATGGTACTAGACTAAATGTTGATCTCCACCACTCCTTATGAAATTCTTCACCATTCCTTTAAAAAATTCACAATAATTTCATAATATCACCTGGCATCCAGGATATATTTATATTTCCCTTTTCCCAAGAATATCTTTCATAGCTTTTTTTTTTCTTTCCCCATGCAGGATCCAATCTAAACTCCTAACTTGCTTTTAGTTGCTGAGTGTCTCTTATTTAATCTAGAACAGGGGCCAACAAACTATGGCCCATGGGCCATATCTGGCCTCCACCTGCTTTTGTAAATAGGCATTTGCTGGAACTTATTCTTTCATCTATGTATATGGTAGCAATTGAGTAGTTGCAACAGAGACTGTACAACTCACAGAATCTAAAATACTTACTACCTGGCTCTTTACAGAAAAAGCTTGGTAATCTGTGATTTACAACTTTTCTCTTTTATTTTCTTTTATTAAAATATATTTTATTGATTATGCTATTACATTTGTCCCAATTTTCCCCCTTTGCCTGTTTCCACCCAGTACCTCCAACAGTCCCTCCCTTAGTTCATGTCCATGGGTCATGCATATAAGTTCTTTGGCTACTGAGTTCATTGCCATTTTAGTGTTCGTAGTTTTGATCTTCTTTTTCTTAAATAAGTCCCTTTAACATTTCATATAATAATGGTTTCGTGATGATGAACTCCTTTAGCTTTACCTTGTCTGGGAAGCACTTTGTCTGTCCTTTGATTCTAAATGATAGCTTTGCTGGATAGAGTAATCTCAATTGTAGATCCCTGCTTCTTATCGCTTTGAATACTTCTTGTCAGTCTCTTCTAGCCTGCAAAGTTTCTCTTGAGAAATCAGCTGATAGTTTTATGGGGATTCCTTTTTAGGTAATTCTCTGCTTTCCTCTTGCTTCTTTTAAGATTCTCTATCTTTAACTTTGGCATTTTAATTATGATGTGTCTTGGTGTGGTCCTCTTTGCACCCATCATGTTTGGGACTCTCTGCTTTCTGGACTTGCATGTCTATTTCCTTCACCAAATTAGAAAAGTTTTCTTTCATTATTTCTTCAAATAAGTTTTCAATTTCTTGCTTTCTCTCCTTCTGGCACTCCTATGATTTAAATGTTGGTACATTTGAAGTTGTACCAAAGGCTCCTTACCGTATCCTAGTTTTATTTTATTCTTTTTTTCTTCTTGCTGTTCTGATTGAAATTTTTTCCTTCCTTGTGTTCCAAATCATTGATTTGATTCTCAGCTTTATCCACTCCACTGTTTATTCTCTGTACATTTTTCTTTAGTTCACTTAGTGTGAATTTTATTTCTGCCTGGGTCATTTTTATGCTGTTGAAGTACCCAATGAGTTCCTTGAGCAGCCCTAGTAACCAGTGTTTTGAACTCTGCATCTGATATCTCCATTTTGTTTAGTTCTTTTTCTGGAGTTTTGTTCTGTTCTTTTGTTTGGGCCACATTTCTTGGTTTCCTCATTTTGGCAGCCTCCCTGTGTTTCTATGTATTAGGTAGAGCGGCTTTGGCTCCCTGCCTTAGTAGTGTGGCCTAATGCAGAAAAGTGTACCTGTAAATTGGATGGGGCAGAGGCTTAGGAAATCACCTGGATGGGGCAACCTGTGTGAACCAGGTTGATGGAGTCTCAGGTATGGTGGCACCTCTCTGTGGCTGTGTTGGAGAGGGCTCAGAAAAGGGACAATGCTGCTGCCTGTCCTCTGGAGTTTTGTCTGGGAGGGAGCTGTCCCCCAACTTTTGCCATGATGCCAGACACCTCAGTTCCTCCCCATGTGCCACAGGTGCCCTTCTAGCTGCTGCCTCGGTGCTGGAGCCCAGAAAGAGTAAGTCCTAAGTCCGTTGCAGACCCTTCAGGAGGAGATGCTTGAGAATCCTGAAGTTTCTTCTGCCACCCTAATCCCCACTGATTTTACAGCCAGAAGTTATGGGGACTTATTGTCACTGGAACCCTGGGCTGAGGGGCGTGGTGTGGGTCTGGGATCACTCGCTCTCAAGATACCCCTCCCAATTTTATTCACCACGTCTAGGTGTGGGACCACCCATTCCACGTGTCCTTGTCTCTACTGCTCTACCCCTCCTACCCATCTGAATGAATGTAAATTCTTTAATTCCTTGGGCTGGTGCACTGTCATGATGAAGCTGCCAATCACCAGTTGCCCATAGCTGTGGCCTTCTGAATCATCCAGATCATTTTTGCAGAAGACTGTTCAAGCTTAACACAAAATTGGATGCAGATTTGTTGCTCTACTTGCTCATTTTGAATGCGACAGCCACACAGTACACATGCTCATTCAACAGCATCCACCAACCCCACTGACTAGTACAGTGAAGTCATCATTGTTCATGCATGCACATTCCAGTCCACTGTCCTTGGCTGCTAGGTTACATTGATGTCACACTAACCATTCTCGTTACATTAACAATGGCTGGACTTTTTCCAGACAGACCTCATATACATTTAAAAATATAAAATGCTTGCCCTGGCCAGGTAACTTAGTTGGTTAGAGCGTCATAACCCATAAACCAAGGTTGCAGGTTCAATCCCCAGTTAGGGTACATACAAGAATCAACCAGTGAATGCATCAATAAGTGGAACAACAAATCGATGTTTCTCTCCCCACCTCCCCCATATTTCCTCTCTCTCTCTCAAAATCAATTTTTAAAGATCAATTTTAATGAGTGCATAAGTAAAAAAAATAAAAATATAAAATGCTTATGAAATTCTCAGTGCTCCATGAGGCTGCATTAAACAAATTTTTATGTGTCAAAACTATAAATGAAATAAAAAGGCAAACAATAAATTAGAAAATAATTACAATTCCAGGATCTTATCTCTCTTCATACTTTATTTTTCAGGCAGAAAAGTAAAAGAAAGTCATGTCTGACATATGGTAGATAGCTTTGGTTATAGATGGAGGTAAAATCCTTACTAATCAAGTTTCTATATCATTTAGAGAAACTAGTAGAAAAACTGGGGGCCTCCTTCTTTGGAAAATCATAATATGTAATTTCAAATAAATGCACCAGCGTATACAGAAATCCAGATACATACACAAGGCTCTCAACACTGAGTGCTGGGCCTTGTGCCTAGCTACATGCCTGATACACAGCAACTCTAAATAAATGTCTATGAGATAAAGGAATGAATGCATGCCTTTTTTTCTTCTTTTTTTCTTTTTTACCCAGCTGGGCAGGCAGGTTGTCACAAAAATATTCACACCTATCAATTAGATTATTATTATTATTTTAGTACAACAGTCATCTGCATCATAGTAGAGGCTTGGCCTGCTCATTGCTCATTGGGAGGCTATGCATGCTCATTGAAATAGGATTCAGTTAACTTGGAACATGATCTTAAGGACAAGAATACAGTACATTGGTTTTATGCATGTGTTTATGTGGAAAGCCAGACTCTCCTTCTAGGTCACCTAGGTCAGATTCTAATGAGTAATACCTTCTCTCTCTACGCTTTGGATACAGTATGTCTATCCTACTAATTATGTTAAGACATTGTAAGTGAAACATAAATCATAAAGAAAGCACTGCTGACTGATTTTATCAGAAATATAACATAGCTGAGGGTATGTGCAGTATAATTGCTCTCTATTTCTCTAAAATGTCATTTAACCTATAAAAAAATTGAAACTCCCTAAAACCACAGTTCATATTTTACAGTAATCATTAGGGGAAAAAAGTTAATAGTCATCTACTCTAGCACAGCTCACACATATGGCACTGAAGAGTGAGTTGTTGGGCAGAAATAAGGCTGAAGATTTAAAGAATTCCTGGTTGGTTCTTGAGCAGTGGATCTTTTTCCTGGCTTCCAGGAAAGAACTTGACCTTTGCTTGCTCGAGGAAAATATTCAGGCCTCTGCCTTTGATCCCAGTACTGTTTTCTATCGGCCTGTATTCCTTGTGTTTTCTGAAAACAATGTGTTAGAAAGATTTTTAAAAAGATCTCCAGCTGGAATATATTATCTTCCACAACCTTTTACATGTCCAGTGCAGAATGGTTAATTCCATTTAACCTCATCTCTGGCTTTAAACACTAATGTTTTACAGAAATATATTTATTTTCTCTTCTTCCTACAAGAAATGTGCCTGTTTACTATAACTTGAGATTACATGTTAAATATTAAGCTGACACAATTTTGTTGAGTTACTGACATCTGGTAGCATTTTTAAGGATTAATTAAAAAGCCCACAGCAAAATCAACAGGCTAGTTTGGTATTCATCATTCAGTGGAAGATTCTCCTCCCACACACAAAATGGTTAAAAGCCAAAAAGGGAAAATGGCTCATTTGTGCTACACATTGCTACTTATTTTCAACCATATACTATAGTGAATTAAAGTGTTAGAACCGGCAACTTACTTGTACACCAGGAAGGCAATCACGGTGATAATTATGGCCAAGCAGCTAATGGAGACCAGGGCAACATTTGCCATTCTTAAAGAGGAGTCTGGGTCTTAAAACAGAAGAGAGACCACATTAGAGACATCTTCCACCTGGAGGACATGCTGCTTGTAATGTAATTAAATAAATGACGCAGGCAGCTGTCAGAAGATATATGGCTCCCTCAGGGCTTTCGGTAATCTTTCCCATTAAATAATACATAGTCTTTGGGTCAGCTTATCTTCCATTTAGAGAATGAGTTAGCATGTCTGGAACACCGTGTGAAGGGCCCAGGAGAGAGATGTCACGTCCTGAAGACACCTGCTCAGGTCTCAGCTGCCCCAGCAGCGCCCACGTGATGAAGGGCTCCGTGATCCTCCTGCCCACTCCTCTGACCTCCTCCCCCACCCCCGGCCACTCCCCCGCCGCCCACCTTCCTGCTGTGCTGAAAATCCTGGGAGCCGTGCATCCTCCCCACACTTCCATATCTCCACGCCCTCTGCTGGCAGTGTCCTCCCCTTTGGGACGCCTTCCAGACATTCATGAGGCACCATCACCCCTTCCTTTGTCACTACGCTACTTGCTGTCTTCCTCAGTCTTGATCATGTTGTGTTGCAACTACTTCCTTACCCATATTTCTCCCCTACTAAATTGTGAGAGCCACAAAGCAAGGATTATGTCTTCTCTTCATTCCTGGAACCCAGTTAATCAACTAGTCTTGTCTCTACTGCCAAAGTACAACTGCACTTTTATCTACTCTTCCTCCATCTTCTCTGCCACCATCACAGTCCCAGCCACCACCTGCTTCCCCTGAGAAGACCTCTTAATTGTCTGCCTGCTTCCAGGTTTACCTCCAACGATCCTCGCTGCACCCAGCAGTTAGCACGGTCTTCTAAAAGCATCAGTTAAGATCATGCTTCCAACCCACCAGGGGTTTGAATACAACCACAGAATAAATCCCTAGCCCTGTTGGTGGCCTACAAGAATCTAGGTGGGCTGCTTATGATTAAAATGTTGGTCTCAGTTCAGAGGAGGCCCCTCACCAAGCCGGTGCTCCTGGGTCGGCGGGACTTGTCCTGACCTCTCAATCTAAGCCAATGTTTGTCGCCTCCCTCCCATGCAAGTCACTCTCCACATTCTGAGCTAGTTTTATTTTCTTTGCAACGCCATCTAATTTGTTTACTGCCTGGTTCTGCTCAGAAAAGCAGGGATCTTCTTCCTCCTGTTCCCCACTCTACCTACCACTGTATGTCGTGTGCCTAGAGCCATGCTGGGCATGGAGTAGCTGCTCAGTGAATATTTGTTGAAACAATTGCAGCTGTTTTATGAATGTTCACTGAATCAAGGAATAAAAGTGATTTCAGCTAACAGTCAATGGATTTGCCTTGGAGCAATGATCTATTTCTGCAATTCTGGCTTTGATACGTAGATCATCAAGTACAGTCCCACTGGATTAAAAGCTTTCTTTCTGGCCCTGACCAGTGTGGCTCAGTGGGTTGGGCGTTGTGCCAGAAGCAAAAGGTCACCAATTGGATCCCTGGTCAGGGCACATGCCTGGGTTGCAGGCCAGGTCCCGATGTTTCTCTTGCACATTGATGTTTCTCTCCCTCTCTTTCTCCCTCCCATCCCCTCTCTCTAAAAATAAAATAAATGAAATCTTTAAAAAATAAAAGAAAGAAATGAAAGCTCTCCTTTTGAACTTCCTTTATTTGGATTTTGAAGATGGCTCAGGCCACACCTAAAGTTATCACTCACTACAAGAAGAATTAAACAAATATCTAAACCCCTACTCCAAAGAAGAGAACAGTGGTTTGCCAGCACTGAGGGAGCTTCACAGACGAGGTTAGGAGTCTCAAGGCAATTCTGGAAAAATCTGTGGCAGCACAAGGGGACTGAAGGCAGCGGGAGGTGCCAGCGTGGATGCCCCACCTGCCTCTTCCGCCCGGACCTCCCTGGCCCTTGGCCCCAGGCCCCAGTGCGCCCGCCTCAGGAAGGGTGGTTCCTTCCTTTGTCATCTTGTTCTCTTGTTTTTAAATATATACCTAGGATCTTACCAACAATAAGTCCTCATACAAATAATTATATGTATGGTCACTGAAATTTTTCTTTCAGTGAGGTTAAAGCTGTCTTTTATCTTAACAACTAAATATGTTTAAATACCCTTTACCTTATGAGACAGGGTCCAAGTCCAAAGGAGCTATTTGTGAGTTAGTCACTAGGTTGTACCTGACAATACTCAAATTAAGGGGCAAACTAAGTGCTGTAATGTGTGTACAATTTAATCTCTCCCTCCCAGCACGTTGCACTCCTTCTAAGAGATAAAGCAGTGACTTAGAACAAAATTGGTTATACATGAAATTCAGTTAGGGTCACCAGGTAGAGACTGTATTTTGAAGCTGGGAACATGGAAAGCCAGCAGTAAATGAAAATTTTTCAATGCAATTCCTTACTCCACTTTGTAAACATTTTACCTCTCCAAACATTGGGAGGGTAAAGGCTAGTTTTTCAGGTGAACATCGGAGGAATAGGTATGTTGGTTTGTTCCCGTCTCCGTGTGATGCTCGGCTGAATTTGGGAAGGGAAAGAGGTACGCAGTAAGCTCGAAGGGAGCGAGGGGTCCCCTTGGTTTCTCATTTCTCTTCTTGGCTTCATATCTTTGCCCAGGTGGATTCTAATGACTACATGATACCAGCCTCCCCTTTGTTATACTATAATGGGAGAACATTGTTATTTTTTGAGGTTGGTTTACACCTCCCCCTTGAAATAAAAACCTATTCGAGCATGTGGTGGTCATATTCTGTTATTACTGGTCCATGATTGCAGCTGAGCGTTTTCGATTGAAAGGCTTTACTTAGGCCACTATTTCACTCAGTCTCTCCCTCTCTCTTTCTATCCCCCCCGCCCCACCCTGCTCTTTCTCTTGCATCCCTTTCCTAAGTAGATATGCTGTTGGATTTTAATGCCAGTCCCCAAATCCACATTAACAATAGCTCAATGAATTTTGCACTGAAATAAAATTAAACATTGATAACAAAGCTCTGAATAGCTTTAGCATGAGACACCATGCCCTTTATCTGCATTGTGAAATGCGAATACAAGCATGAAACAAAACTCACTTCTGCCTGGCACAGCGAGGTGGATGCTCGTGAGGGCTAGGCTAGCGTCGTCACCCAGAGTGAGGTTCATACAGTATGTCCCAGACCCGTTGAAGGCTCGTCTCACGGTCAGCAAGCACGTGTCGCCCACATCCACGGGGCTACAGACTGTGTCCTGGGCGATGCGGCAGGTGGGGTCAGCCACGATGGTACAGACCTCGGTAGGAATGCTGAAGGCACAAGGGAGGGAGAGAGAGGAACATAATAGTTTTAAAGGGAAAAAATCATTACATTTCTATAAATTTGAACACCTATAAATTTGAGTATTTGTACTCAAACCATATGACATCGAATTGCCACCTATAATTTACCCTGGGGGTGAGCTATTTTTCCTCTGTACCCTCTGGAAGGTGTGGCCTTGGGCGTGGAGCAGGAAGATATTACGTCCCCCCAAGGCAAGGGGATCTTGGAAACAAAGTGAAGCCCAAGCATTCTCTCTGCCTCTGACTCCCTAGAAAGCCCAAAGCTGCAGATGGTGTAGGCGGTAGGCAGAGACATTACCAAGCACCTCCTGGCCTGGGTTCCTGCGGAGGGATACACAACAGCAGTAACGACATACGATCGTGCCGTATTTACTGTGCACAAGACTCTGGGTTTTAGAAACGTGACCTGGCCTTGTCTATTCCTCTCAGTGCCTTTATAAGGAAAGTGATACTATCCAAGTGTAGCAGGGGACAAAGCGCTCGGGGGTGAGGGCGCGGGGGGTGGGGGGTGGTGGGGATAATTAGCCCAAGGTCACGCAGCTGCCCTACTGGAGCTGGGATTTGAACAGGAGATGTTCCGTGGTCTGTGAGCTGTGCTCTGCCAGGTGCCCACTGTCTAAGGGGGCAAGTCCTGTAATCACCATGGCCCCATCTGTAAAATGAGGAGACTCATAGGATTGTGTGAGGATTCAACAGATGACAATGTCAGGAACGTACTAAGTGTTTGATCAATAAGTATTATTTAACTGCATCAACAGTTAAAAGTAATGAGCCTTGCTCAACGCCAGCTGAACAGCTGCACGCTTGAGAGTGCCTTGGAGGGCCCGCGCTGGCCCTGGCCCTGGCCCTGGCCCTGGCCTACTGACAAGCTAGGACTTCAGACCGGCTTCGGCGGGAGACTGGAGTCAGGGCCTCTGTTCAGGCCTAGGGGCCTCGCTCGGCCTGTTCCTCTGATTGAGGCGATGTACTCACGTCCCTTGGCAGGTCACGACAAAATCCATCAAGGAGTCGTCAGGCTGTGGCACGGGCGTCACAACTTCTGTCATCTCAATGATGTTGACCATTAGAATTCCCTCTGACAAAACAACCCCCCCCCCATGGAAAAATGCATCAAAATACAGTGGAAACCCACCCAAATCTAATGACTCCTTCACAAATCAGAAAGCCAGACAACATGAGACCGCCTTCTCACTACCCCATGCACACCAGATCCGGAATCTACCCCATCGCTTCTCATACATGTCCACACAGTATTTTCGAAGTCAGACCAAACTGTTCTTCAGTCCATCCTAGCTCTTTATTTCCGGAGCCTGTGTATGTGTTAGGAGGCAGTACCCCTCTCTGGGCGTATATTTCAGGGAAGGTGCTCCTGGGGGGTGCAGCCCAAGGTTCGGGCGGGGGCCAGCTTCTCTTGGTGGTGATGGAGGTGACGTGGCTCAACCAGGGTGCACGGCCTGGGTTTCAACCCCCATCCCCAGAACCAGGGCACAGGCCTGGGCTGTAGGCCCCATCTGTCTTCCCTGTTGGGCACTTGAGGACTGTGCCTAAAACACACAGCTGTGTGGGTTAGCCCTGCTCATTCACGTTGCGAACATACCACAAGTGTGACTTTGTGAAATTAGCTAGGGGAAGAAAGCGGAAGTCAGGGGAACTTGTGGCTGGCCTTTCAAGGCTCGTTCATTCCTATTTCTGGGACAGACAGGGTCGGAGGTCCAGGGCCTGGGTAGGCTCATCGGTGTGTGGGCCTCAGGGGGTCTCATTTCTGCTAGGATGTGGGTAGGAAGGCTGCGGTAGGCAGGTGGGAATGTAGAAACTAGTATAGTCTTTGCTGGTGTGTGTGGTATCACCTCCGACAGAGGGTGGGTGGCCCTGCTCCCCAACCCCACCCTCCAGAGTCGAAGAGGGAAGGGGAACCCATCCCGAAGCAGATTCTGACATCCTCTCCCTGCTGGTCTTACCTACAATTGTGAGGCTGGTTTCGAAGTAGCCGTCTCTGACGATGTGGCAGCCTTCGTCTTGGCTGTCCCCCCACTGCAGGGGGCTGCCACCGGCAGGCGCTGCGGAGTTTGAATAACAGTGTTTAGATTAGTTGTTGAGAATGTTAAAGGTGTGTATGATAGAACCAGAAATCTAAACACCTGTGTTTTCTACCTGCTCGTTAAAAACATCAAGGACCCTATCCTTTTCAATTGCTGTAGAAATGTGAACTACACGTGTTAATGATTCATGTAGATGTGAGACCTGTAAGGCATTATAATTGTTAAATCATGTAAATAAACACAATCCCATATCTTGTTTAAACACAGGAAGCAAGTGAAAGGTAGAAGCCATATTGAAATGTGTAAAACAACAGTCATGGTGAAATAAAGCAGGTCATCAAAGATAGGGTCATATTTTAATTTCAGAGGCAGACATTCTGGGCTCGAATTCTATGTCCCTTGTTTTTAGCTGTTTGAGACCATGGGCATATCATTTAGCCTCTCTTTGCCTCAATTTACTCATCTGTAAAATAGGAATGATACTTCCTGACTTACTAGGGTTGAACTGTGAAACTTAAATGAGATGAGGTATATAAAACCTGTTTCTCGTGCCTGCCACAGGAAGTACTTAATAAACATCAATTTCCTTGTCTCTACAGGTACTTCTATACATCTATTTAGATATGGTATGCTATAACATATGTAAGATGTGTAATTTAAAATAGTAAGGTTGGTGCATAATAGATTAAAAAACAAGCAAGGAGGAAAAAAGCAATTTTTTCCCTGTTCGGATGTCTCTTAGCTCCAAAACTTACATTCTAAAAGTCTCACAGTTATTGGTGAGCAGAGGTGTGGGGAAGAAAAGGAATGAGAAGACTCTTTTGAAAAATAACACTTTGAGTATGATTAGAGCAAAGAACTTGATGCCTTGTACTGTTGAAACTAATGTAATGCTATACATCAATTTTACCTCAATAAAAAAAATAATGTTACAATTTCAAAACCTCTAATTAAGGTATTGGTGTTCCTCTAACAAGATAAAAAGACTGTGAAGAAAATATGATCCTGAAAATGCAACATCATCTTCTCTTAAAATTCAAAAGGCATGAAAATGGACGCAGTTTTGTGGGAGGAGCATTACAGCTTCACAAGAGCTGCATCTCAAACAGTGACACGCAAGGCTGAAGCCGGCTGGGGGGTTTCTGCAGGGCTGCTCAGGGCCTTCAGCGGGCGATGAGCGGACCCTGTGAGGCTCCTTTGCTCAGGGGGCCTTCTCGGAGTAGTTCTCAGTGCATCTGTGGAAGCAAGTGTTCCATGGCACACACTTCGGGAAACGCCGTTCGGGTAAAGCTGGAAGGGTTTGTTGCCACATTGGATTCAAATGCCATGATTTATCAGCAGCACTGGCTGTGGCAGGCTCTTGGGAGTGTCCCCAGAGTTTCACAGCGGTCCTTTGGAAGTTATAGGATAGCCATTCATTTTGTCCTGAGATTTAACTGACAGGCCCTGTAGCAATAAGTTTGTCTGTACAGGGTGCTAAAGATGGCTGGCTCTTCCCAGGAAACTGGAAAAATTCTTTTGTTCCTAACAGGCAGAACTTAGCATGCAGTCATGGCTCTGTCTGCTGTATTTTAAAATAAAACTTTAAAAAATGACCAAATAACAAAAGTTGATTTTATCTTTAAAATCCCTTTATCCCGCATCCCTTTAAAACATGCTTATAAAAATGAACGTTTTGTAGACATATCAAAAGTCAAGCCCATGTCTATATATCTATATTTATAAGGTCAAGGTATAATTAAAGGGCTAAAGCAGAAAAACTAACACCTTAAAAGACAGATGGGAAAGAAGGTAAACTGCATACTTACTTAATTCACTATTTCTGTTCCTATTACCTAGAGAAATTTGGGTGAGAGCCCTTGATATTTTGGGAAGACAGGAAACTTCTACATAATAATCCAATAATAATCCAATGCTCAATAATCCAAAGCTGCCATTATGGTCCGTACAGCTGAATGTGCTCTCCTTCCAAAGGACAAATACCCCTCCTCAGCTTGGGACCCGCATCTCATTCCCACCCCTCCGCGCCCCAACCCTCACAGCAGTTCTGCGGCATTTTGGGGCTGATTATTCTTAGATAAAGCCAGGCAGCTTCCCTTCACTATAAAACTTAATTAACTCAGAAGGTTACTTCTTTACATCTTATGGCCAAACTTGTGGAAAATAACAGAAATTTAAAATAATCTTTCACTGATTTAATATATATTTTTATATATGTCATTATATAAATAGGTTCTAAGAAGAACAAGCTGGTTTAATAAAAATGCAATTCAAAATAGACTAACATTAAAGAACCTATCAGTAAGCCCTATATCATTCAGGAATTCCTGCACAGTTCTAGATATGACAGGTATCTGTCACTTATTTTGAACTTTACATTTGGTCCCCTTATTTGTAAGGAAGACCATCTATACTTGGAGATGAAGAAATTGATTTTTCCTACAGAAATCCTATAACAAAACTACATGTTTGGAGTTGTTCGGTGCAGTTATATTTGTGACTGGAATTAGGGTTTAGCTAGTAAATAACCTATCAATATGAGAATGGTTAAATAAATTATAGTTCATACAGGCTATAAAATACTATGTAGCCAGTAAGTTAGCTTTAAATGCACTGAAAATAATATGACACTTATGATGTTTGTTACATTAATAAAGAAAGTTATAAGATATATATATACATATATATATCTCCCATTTACCTAAAAATCAAAACAAACTCCACGTGTCTTTGTAAAATATATTTGTACAGCATAGAAGACGGCCTGGAAAGAAATACTCTCAACTATTAACAGAATTTAAGGAGAGTGTGAGTAGGAACTTTTACTTTTATTGTAGATTTCTATATTTGAATTTTTACTAAGGAACATGCTTTAATTTTGTAATTTAAAGTATTTTCTAAAAGAATTAATAAAAAAGTAATTATAGTGTCTTGAATTACATACTTTTGGTTTAATAAGATCTAACTTTATTAATAACACTATTATGAAAATTTATTATTCATAATTAACAGTTTTTTGGTAAAAACATTTACAAGTCTGGACATTATGGCGTGCTCCCTCTGGGCTTGGCGATGGCGCCCTCTTGTGTCCAATGTGAGGATGTCAGCCTATGGCAATCCCCTGGGATCTGAGGGCTAAGATATACTGAAGTCTGTGTGGGGGAGGGTGGAGGCATCAGAGGGAAGCAAGGCTTTCCAAAGACTCCTAAGCACTTCTAGAATGTCCTCGTATCCTATTAGTAGAGGGCGGGATTTAATTAATTAACTCTTATGTTCAGAACAATTTTAATGCCTGGAGTCTTTCCAGCTTGCTAGCCAAGAAATATTTTCAAGGTACAATATTTTTTGGGTCATTTAGAAAGTGCTTTTAAGTGTGGCTGTGTCTTCATGGGACACCCGTGGATGTGGCCTGGGAAGGGAGGAGAATGGAAGAGGGGAGGGAAGTGGGTGGGGGGGAGGGAAGTGGGATGGCCTGGATGTTCACAAGGGACCAGTGTGTCTTCTCATACCTACAAAAAATGGGAGATGACCAGAAATGTAATGAACTAGAAAGGGAAGCCTCTGTACACATCACAAAGTCAGGGTAAATTAGGAAGGTCAAAGAGCTGTGTACAAGTCACCAAAGTTGACTTGCGAAGTGACTTGAAACATGTTCTCCTTTCTTCCATATTCCAACAAGCTTAAAATAATGATAACATGGCTTTAAAAAGATCAACAGATTTTTGCAGAGTCTGTACACAATACTCTAACCTACACAAAATTTTTCCTTTAGCGGTTAAGGTCTTCCCCACCCCCCCATCCCACCCCGCAAAGATCACCCAGAAAACACTTAAGACACTTACGCAAAGAAGGAGTGGGTTTTGGAGGCCTGGGTGAAGGTGAAGGACAAGGCCCAGGCACTACAGCTTGCACAGTGAGGTTAAGGTTGAAGGTTCCATTGAGCACATATGTGTGATCCAAAGTGTGATTGATGGAAACAAACAGACCGGTATTATCCCCAAAGTTCCACTTGTAGTTAATCGCAGACTCGTTCAGGAAGTGGCTGGGGTCATGAATAAAGACATCGAATGTAATGGGGATGTCCCTGAGGAAGGTTTCATCAGATGAATTTCGATCATTCTTCTGGGACATATTCACATACACAGGAATCTGATCTAAAAAATGTATAAACATATATACATTTATATACAAGAATGCATGATTGCTTGATTTTAAGTGGATAACTTCAGTAACACATTTTGAAGTTAGAAATTTAAATCAGGGATAATTCAGCATCATTTTTCCTTTCCCTGTGCAAGTTTTCTAGAGTTTTCCCAAGCTAATCTGGAAGACAGAGGGTACATCATTAAATAGAAGTTTGAGGAGTCCAGATGATTCGTAACCTAACCCAAAACACTTGGTTCTAACTCTTTCTTAACCCCCTAATGTTGTCAGAACAAACTGCCTCATCCTCAGTTACTTTAGAGTTCACACTTCTCACCTGTTACCATATACACATTTTTCACTTTTGCAATGGGAACGTAAGTCCGTCGGTTTCTTCTATAGACCATCACTTCCATAAGTTGAGAGCCAAGCGTCACATTGGCTGTGTTTATAGAAACACTCGCTGAACACCGTCCCAATTTCTGGAAGTACTGACCTGTGAGAGGTTGGGATATTTAGGTATTGGTTACATTATATGATCATTACAGGAAGCTCTTTCTTAATGACTAGCCACTGCCATTTAGAGATGGCTCTGAGGGGGAAGAAACAGGGTGGGCGTGTGGTCCTGGCTGCTTCAGAAAGGGAGATGGTGCTTGTTTTTAATGTAAAACCTTATAAAACAAACCCACGGGTAAGTAAACGTAATTGCATGGTTAAAATGAACAGAGCTGTTTAATGGGATAATATAAATTTTAGTTCACAAATAAATACGTTTTATAAAAAAGTGGTTTAGCACTTGAAATATGTGTATTCCTCACAGGAAATACATTTAATGTAATGGTGAGGTGTCTGATGGAGTTTTAAAAAGTTTATCTAAGAATCTACCTTACTTTTATAGTATTACTATTTCATCTATATTACTAAGTGGCTTTTTTTTTTAGGGGACTAGAATCCTCCACTTTCTAATAGTATTTGCATATAGATATGCAGAACATTATGAAAAGGATGGTGTATACTTTAAAAAGGGATGGAGTGGTCCCATGAACACATTCCAGGACACCTGGAGACATTCTTTTTCTTTTTCCAACTCTAATCTAAATCTAACCGCCACTGTCTGGTGGTGAAAATAATTCCCCTCATTCAGGGCTCAGGGATTTTTCTGACCCTACTGAGGCCCGTGGGATAGCTGTTCGCCGGAACAACGGGCACTCCCCCCTGTTCTTTGGCACGCGGAGGCAGTCCTGATGGAGGTTGGAGGGCAAAGGGGTGTCTCGGAGGGGCTGGTGACACGAGGAAGTGTTAGTTCTGACACGGAGAGCAAGGCCACCGAGGCAATGCCCGGCTGAGGGACAATGTCAGCTAACTCTGAGACCTCAGCAGAAGACAGACATTCAAAACAGCCTTGTTAGAAAAACAGCAATTTCTGGTTGAAAGTTGATTTTAAATAAAGACATCTTAAGTAGTTAATGGATGTTAACGAGGCTGAAAAGAGTCTGGAGTGCGAGTGAGCATAAAGACTCCAGGGAAACTCCAAGTCAGATAAAAGAAACCTGGGCTGGTGAGGAGACAGACGCGCCATTAGGGCATCAAAAACGGTCAACTGTCAATCAACTGATTTAAGTAGATGGGCATAATGTATGACATACATGTTGTATTTTGTGCCTTCAGGATGTGTTATTATTTTGTTTTGATTTGTAAGTTAACTAGAAAGAGAAGCTTTCTCTAATTTACAAAAAAAGACAAAACATTTAAAAAATTTGGAGGCTGCATTATTGGTAGCGGTTTTCAAATCCTCAGAGCCAGGTGGCATCTGGTGACATTTTTAACTAAGGACTTAGCAGCTTTGCTAGTAATAACCTAAATTTTCTTCTAAAGACAATTACTTTGCCAGTAAAAGAAAGAAAAAAAGGGTGGGCTATGTACAAAAGAAGAGCAGAGGTTAGATTATGTTATTTCTACACAAGAAGAGCAGAGGTTAGATTACGTTATTTCTACACAAGAAGAGCAGAGGTTAGATTATGTTATTTCTACACAGTGAAATGTTATGCAGTCATTAAAATAATGTAATATAAAGAGTTTTAATAATATAGTCAAAACCTCATGATATTAAGAAAAAATGTGTATACACTATAATCCTAATCAAGAAATACTAGTAAAGAAAACACCATGATATTAACAGTGATAACCTCTGGTGTTAATTACAGATGACTTATTTTTCATTTTCATTTTTCTGCATTTTCCAAAAATAAAACATAAGTTTCTTTAATTCTTAAAAATTCATTAGACAATATAAAAAAATTAAAGAATAAATCAACAAATGCCTATCTGTGTGTCAGTCAAATAAATATTAGTATTTTTATTAGTATTTTTAAGATTACTGTTTTAGAAAAAATATGACCAGTTTTGCTTTAAAAAAGGAAGTCGAATCAGTTTTTTTTCCTCCTTTTAACTCTTTGGTGTCCCAGAGATCTGGCAAGACTAATCAATAAATATTTTTTAACCTCTCACCCTTTATCCCAGCTAAAGAAAGTTAACAGAGTATTATTAAACTCTCAGTGTTATTAATTCTTGATAATAGAATAAGGAAAGAGAAAAAAATTAAATTTTAAGGGAAGGTAAAGGAAAAGCTAAGAGGGTTTGTGAAAGTCCAACCAAGAGTGTGAAAGACGTAGATGAAGTTCCGTCTCCCGCATCCGTGGTGGGGGTGGGGGTACGGGTACGGGTGCGGGTGCGGGTGGGGGTGCGGGTGCGGGGGGAACGGCCTCCCGTCAGGGAACACGTCAGAGCTTCGGTTGGCGCCATCTCCCCGGTCGCCGTCCTCAGTCCACGCTGTCCAGTTGTAAACATATGAGTTAAGAGGCGATCCTGTACCTAAACAGAGAAAGACAAAGTCCTGATGGTCCTCTGGATCAGAACGCTCAATGCTCATCATTTAGACGCTTCTTGGTATTTTTTCATAACTACTTTAATTAAAGTTGAACAACTACAACCCTAATGTTCAGAATTCATCCAATGGTGCATTTATGACCTGTATATTTTTTTCTACATGTATATTGGATTTCAGTAAGTTTTATATAGAGCAATTATTCAGGAAAATTGAATCTAGAGATACACTTCATATATTTTACCTTCGTGCTGGTCTCCAAATCACAACTATATTCAAACCCAACTGAGCGTTGCTCTATCTTTTTACTTGGATACACTCTATCTGTAGCTTTTCCCGACTCTTTTGACATCATGACTCCCCACTCCGAGACTTCAGCACACATCCCCTCGGAATAAGGGTATCTTCTGCATAAACACAATGTCATTGCCACCTCCACCCCAGTGATCAAGGGTCACATACTACATTTGGGTATTTTGCTTCAGAAAGAAAGGAGGGAAGAGATGGAGGGGGAGAGGGAAAGAGCGAGCAAATATGGTAGAACATTTAAATTGTTGAATCTATGCAGAAGGTATCTGGGTGCTCAATGCACCCAGTCAAAGGTCAAAGGTCAAAGGCTTTCTCCTTTCCTGTACGGATGACATTCGCCATTTTAAACAAGTCATGATCAGTGTTGTTTCATCCATAGCAATTCCTTACCGTCGTGGTATTTTATGCCATTGACATCTATGGAGAAGCTTTTTATTTATCCATCTAGTACAACCATTGGTATTTTTTTATTCTTAAATTGACCCCAACAGGGCCAGTGGGAGCCCCTTCAAGCTGGCTTCTGTGTCCTTGTGACATATTGCCAGGTGTCCCAGGCTCGCCTGGCACTTTTCCTTCCCTATACCTGGAATCAGTCATTTCTTTAAAGATCCTTAGACTTTTTAGTGGTGATGAATAGTTTATTAAAATTTTCACAAGTCACAAGAACGCTTTCATGTAAAAAAAATGGTCAGAGGGCTAGACTGTCATTTAAAACATTCATAACAATCAGCTTGTTTCAGGAAAAAAAGAGAAAGGTGCTACAGAATATTAAATCCACCACTTTTTAACTATCAAACACTTTCTATACAGAATCTAATGTTTTCCTCATAGGAATATGATAAGTTAACAAAGACTGAACACACCAACAATTTAATAGAAATTCTAAAAAATAAAATCAGATTGTAAGTGCACTTAATAGACTTGTCACTGACTGAAGAATCCCAATAATTAGCTTGGAATTTTTGAAATGTATAGTTCTAAGAAGATAATTTCCATTGATGTATTTGTGTTCATTTTCACTCTTTAACAAAGAGCTTATCTGCTTTAATATGAGCAAAACAAATCGCTCGTGTGTATGTGTATGTGTCTGTGTGTGTTCTAGCATCTGTGCTAGCCACACAGCACTTGCTTAAGAAATACTTGTGAGGAGAAATTACTCTGATCAGCAAACATCTGTCAAACTGGTTGTTCTTTGAGTGGCCAAAAGAATTCCAAATAATAAAACAAAAATCTGAGAATCCACAAGGTATTCTCTGTCCAATCACTTGGACGCTAAGACAAAACTGAGCATGACAACGTAGCTTTTGCAGAGGGTTCCAAGTAGCAAAGAGCCATCCTTCTGCTGAAGTGTCATTGGCTAATGCTGATGAAAGGACTGGGTGGAATCACACACTCACCCTCCCTGTCCTCCAGCGTGAGGAGAGGGTGACATGGGATGAGAGCAGCGTCTCGCATTAGTTGGAGTATTGTACCTACAGGGATCAAGCTTTCCAAGACGGGTCTCCGGTAGTTCAGAAAACTAGCGTGTCCCTGTGATGTGAATAACATTTCTTACCATTTCTGCAGTTCTTCTCATAGACTATGTTGCCATCGTCGTCTTCCTTTTGGCATCTGGGTAATACCAGGTCCACCACAAATGTTATATTTGAGCCTACCAGTGCGGGGGAATCGCTGGTCAGAACCGCCTTCACGTGGCCTCCTAGGGCAGAGAAGAGTGGAGCTCAGAGATCACTGATCGCTTTCCTTTCACGGATGAATAATGTCAAGTTAAATCTTCTTATAAGGACAAGTCCAAGGATCCTTATGCCTCTTCACAATAAATTAATGTATTTTCTGGATTCCTAACTTTTGCTATCAGAGTACAACACTCTGGAAGATAAATTTTAAAAAGTCAGGCCAGTTAAAGAATTTTCTAAACACAGAAAGAACATCCACTCAAAATAATTTTTAAAATCTGCTCAATTGGATTGAAGAGCGACGTATTAGAAGTTCATATTATTTAAATTCCCAGCCAGTGACTGAAGAAGTCACCCATTCATGTAAATGGAAAGATAGTCACTTTCTGACAAACCACAGTTTTAAGATGGTCCAGGCTGCTCTAGAGTCTCAGATCTTCTGAAGATGACCATTCACACCTTAGTTAAATAGGTTTGAGACTGAAACTGCTCACTTTCCAAAATCTTCCAAAAACTACACGCTCGTAAATTCTAAGGAGAGTAAACTGTCTGTGTGTGCGTGTGGCTGAGAAAGTGATACGTTGCAATAAAGGAGAGATTGCCAAACCCAGGCGTCTCCCACTTGGTCACTAGAGTGCTGTCATTCACAGAAGACACAGAAGCCATGTGTCCTCCAAGTTATAATCTGAGACTAACTTAAATAGGAAATGAAGTTGTTTGGATTGAGTCATTTTACTTACCTTTCCAGGAGTTATTCCACCTGGGGTCTCCTCTTTTCCACACTGGATAGAGTTTTTGATTCCACTCATTTTCATCTGAAGACCAACCGTTTAATTGGTTGCGCTCCTTCATATAAGCAGGAGTTCTTTCATTGCTCAGCACATCATGATATCCTATATTAATATTTGAAAAACGAATTATTAAGTCTACTCTATTTCTCATTTAGTACTTACCTACCAATGGTCAAAGGCACTTTGCATTTTATAAGGTTGGAAAGAACATACATAGTATTCCCAATATGTCAAGCAAGGAAAGGTTTTTTTCTTTAATCCTCACCTGAGGACATTTTTTCATTGTTTTTTAGAGAGAGGGGAAGAGGGAGGGAAAAAAGTGGGGGGGGGGAGAGACATTTATGTGAGAAACATCAATTTGTTGCCTTCTTGTACACGCCCTTATTGGGGAGTGAACCTGCAATCTGGGTGTGTGCCTTGACCAGTAATCTAACTTGTGGCCTTTTTTCTACAGGATGATGTTCCAGCCAGTTGAGCCACATTGGCCAGAGCTAAAGGGTTTTTGGGTTTTTTTTTTTTAATGTTCACTGGAAATATCTTTAATGCAAGTATTCAGATGTTATCTCTTTATGTGCATTAGATGAATCAAAAAAAATTTGAAAGTCAATATTTTTTAGCCATCATTTGGTTTTTCAATATATCTCATCTGAATATTTTGCTTTGATGCAATGTCATTAGGAAAGCACCAATGCTGATGATCTTCAGGCCAGTTTTTGCATCTCTTCCTGTTCTGGATTGTCTGCTTGGCTACCGGAAGGCCGGGTTCCGGAATGCCTCCAGGATTCCAGGAGATGCACACTGGGCAGCCCACTGCTTAACAATCTAATTTTTTTTAACGGCCAGTATATGCTGTGCCTTGGTAAATGTTCCACATGCACTTGTGTAATCTACAGTTGTTGGGTAAAGTGTTTTTTAATGTGATTTATGTTACATTGGTTGGTAGAAATGTTTACATTCCTATTGTTTTTCTGCCAATTTCTTCTTTTATTTCTGTCAGTTTTTGCTTTATGTATTTTGAGGACTCAATTGTTAAATCTTTTTCATAAATTAATTTTTTTATCATTAGGACTTGACCTTTATCTCTGAGGATACCGTGATATTAATGCTTTGCATTTAACTGGCATATTTTTTCCATCTTTTATATATGAAGTGGGTTTTTAATACAGCATATTGTTGATTTTTTAAAAAAATCTACTCTATGTTTTACTTGTTGTCCTTAGGTAACTCTCCCAGAACAGATTTTGGAGTTGGCAAGGTGATGATGTGATGCCTGGAGCTACGGCAGCCCTGTTCAGCCACAAGGGCACAAGCCTGGGGAAGCAAGCCAGCATATCCAGGATCTCAGAATGGAAGGATAAAAAGAGTTCTTGCTGATGTTGTCAAGCTCTTGCTCTAGCGCTACCTGCTCTGGACTTACTGAGATACTGTGCCTTACTCGACCTATTTGAGAATTCTGTTACAGCCAAAAGTTCAGTTGTCTATAGTCCTCAGTCAGCCCCTAATCATACACTATCAAACTCTGTCTCTCATCAATTCATATGGTCTTATGTCTTGGCGTGGCCATGACCTCCTAGAGCCAGAAACACTGTCTTCTCTTAAATCCTGGAAGAGGTCTTCCATGAGGTGTGGTATTTGCTAGGTAGTCAGGGAAGCCATAATGAAAGGGTGCCATTAACCTCTGTCTTCTAACCCTCCCTCCCAAAAGGAGGAGGAAGCAGCATGTTGTTCCCTTCTTAGAAGGGAGGCAGATGGAGTAGGAAAGAACATTGAACTGAGAATCACAGAATCTGGTTTCTAGTCTTGGTTTTGCTACTAAACAGGCTGGGAGACCTCAGGCCATATGTCTTCTCTGGGTCTTCAAATCAGACAAAAAACAAATGTCCTGTGATTCTGTGAGATTGTTCCTATTTGGAAAATGATGCTACTAGGTGAGGGCAGGAAATGCATGCTTATCAAAGAATATTTATAACTGGAAATTCACATGAACAATGGTAGGATATTCAATCTGGAAAGAACTAAAGCTACTTAGTTCAAATCCCTTCATTTTTATAAATGAAGAAATTCAGGCCTAGAAAAGTGATATGATTCACTCGGAATCATCTTTAATTGAGTAGAAATGAAGATTCACATCTTTTGATTCCCAGGACCAGTTTTTTTCCCCACTGTTCCAAGGAGTCTTCCTTTTCCTCATCTCCTGAGAGAAAGTCAGTGCTTCCAGAAACATAATCAAAGTGGATTTCTCTTCTGATTTTAAGTGTTACGAGTCAGAGAAAAATACAAAATTAAAAGGAGAGTGACAAGGAATAGACATTGGTCCATGAACAGGATAGAGAACCAGAAATAGCCCTGCACTCATATGCTCTACTGATTTTTGACAAAGATGCGGAATCAGCCTGTTGGAGGAAAGCAAGCTGTTTCAGCAAATGGCGCTGCGGAAGTGTAAAAAGTCTAGGAGAGCACTTCAGGCTCCGGGCTAGACCAGAAATCTTAGACCTGACACCAAAAACATGACCCATAGAAGGAAAAAATGATAAATTAGACCTCATTAAAATAAAAAATTTTGCTCTGTGCAATACCATGTGAAAAGGATGAAATTACAAACTGGGAGAAAATATTAGCAAACTGCATTTCTGATAAATAACTAATATCTAAAATATACAAAGAATTTTCAAAACTCAGTGTTAAAAATGAAACAATCCAATTAAAAGACCTGAACAGACATTTCATTGAAGAGGATCTACAGACAGTAAAGAAACACATGAAAAGATGTTCAATATCGTTAACCAGTAGGAAAATGTGTATTAAAAGCACAGTGAGAGACCACTATACACCTATCAGAATGACTAAAATAAAAAATAGTGACATATCAAATGTAGATGGGGATGTGAACAAACTGGATCACTTCTACATTGCTGGTTGGAATGTAACATTCTTGAAATGACAATATTATACAAATGGAAAACACATCAGTGGTTGCCAATGCCTGGGTTGGACCGGGATGTGTGTTTGGCTATAACAGGGAATGGGGGACCCTTGGGGTGACAGAACTGTTCTGTATTTTGACTGGATCAGTGTCAATATCCTGGCAGTGATATTGTTCAACAGTTTTGTAAGGTGCTCCCATTGAGAGAAACTGGGTGAAGGGAACAGGACTCTTTGCGGTATTGGGTTGGCCAAGGAGCCCCTATGGTTTTTTCAGTAAAATAAAAGACACTTTTTTTATTTTCACCAATAACTTTATTGATTTGAAAATTTTGAGTATGTCGGCTGTCTCCTGCATCGTTTAACATTGATTGTTCTTAATTAATGTCTCAGTTTGATTGCTATCAACTTCACTGGTCTACCTGACTGCGGAGCATCTTCCAGTGAGACATCTCTAGCATGAAACTTTGCAAACCACTTTTGACACATTTGATCAGTCACAGCACCTTCTCTAGACACTGCACAAATCTTTCTTTGGCGTTTCAGTTGTGTTTTTACCTTTCTTGAAATAATAAAGCATAATATGCCAAAAATTGTGTATCTTCTTCCATAGTCAATATTAAAATGGCTACACAAAAATTCACCAATTTTTGATAAGTTTTTAAAAAATGCATACTGGCCCTGGCTGGTATGGCTCAGTGGACTGAGTGCCGGCCTGTGAACCAAAAGGTCACTAGTTCGATTCCTGGCTAGAACACATGCCTGGGTTGCAGACCAGGTCCTCCCCTGGGGATGTGAGAAAGGCAACCAGTGGATGCTTCTCTTACACACTGATATTTCTGTCCCTCTCTTTCTCCATCTTACAGAAAAAAAAACCATACAAGATTTTTGGCCCATCCAATATATAGGTTTTTTTTTTTTTTACAACTGTATGTGAATCTACAATGACCTCAAAATTGAAAGTTGAATTTAGAATAGAATAAAACGAACCCGTTAGTAATCGGACTAGAAGAGCCAACAAAGAGGGGTGTGTGAGCGGGCGCGCTGTGTGGGTGAATGCAAAGGCAACAGGGGTCACTCCCAGCGCAGCTCTGGCTTTTCTCTCTGCGCTTTGGCCTCGTTGCTGTTCGTCGCCCACAGAAAAGTATTGGATTGGCCAGAAAGTTTGTTTAGATCTTTTTCATACGATGGCTCTAGCAGTGCTTAGTTGTCTTTAACTTCATTCAAACAATTTTGTTAGATGGTACTGTGACAGTTGTCATATCAGCATGCATTTTTAAAAAACTTATCAAAATTGATGAATTTTTGTGCATCCATTTTGATATTGAAAACCGAAGAAGATAGGTTAACATTTTCAGTGTATTACGCTTTATTGTTTCAAGAGAGGTAAAAATGCAACTGAAATGCAAAAAAGACTTCTGTCGTGTTTGGCGAAGGTTCTGTGACTGATCGAATGTGTCAAAAGTGGTTTACGAAGTTTCTTGCTACTATGGACATTGTGGCCAAATAAATCTTTGCTGTAGGGCTGTCTTATGCATTGGAGGGTGTTTAGCAGCTTCCTTGGGCTCTACCCACTAGAAGCCGATAGCGGGAGATAGCCGACATACTCAAAATATCCAACCAATAAAGTTATTGGTGAAAATGAAAAATGTGTCTTTTATTTTACAGAAAAATCTAAACGGACTTTTTGGCCAACCCCAGAGCTGCTGGTTGCTTGTTACCTTTGCCTTCTTCCTTCCTACCAGGGCTGATTGGACAGTGGCAAGGAGTCCCTTAGTGTTTGACCCACTGCTAAATCCTCCCTGTCCTTGTTTTGCCTGGCCAGACCCTCTAGTTTAGGGCAAGGTGAAGCCAGGAACGTCAGGGTTTTGTTACGTTGCCTAATAGGCTGGGACTCTTCTCAAACTGACAGAAGAATTCCACTTGCGGCTCCTGTGCTTTACGGAGCAGAGCAAACGCGCGTCGTGTAGGTGGGAGGCAGGCTAGATGGAACGGGGTGCGGGGTCCCCCGCTGGCCTATCAGTTCCCAGTCCCTCTCTCGGCCGTAGGCAGATTCCAAGCGGGCCGTCGCGGGAGGTTCGCTGAGGTGAGACAGTGGCTACTTCGCCCGTCTCCCACTCCACGCACGTGCTGTTAGCTGATCTCTCAAGAGCCCCAGACCCAGCTTTGCAGAAGAGGGAGTGAAAGCTCAGGGCTCGTGGCCCTGCCCCACCGGCTGGCCCTCCTGAGCTTGTCCAGCCGCAGGAAGGGCATTGGTCCGCCTGGCAGCGGCCTCCTTCCTCCTACGTCCTGTGTGGCCGGGGTGAGTTCCTTGCCCTCCGTGGCCCGTTTCTGGTCTGGGAAACGGGATCGGCGCGTTGCTAGCCTCCCCACGCGAGGCCAACACGGGCCAGCTGCTCTGCGTCTGGACTCCCTTGTCAAAGACACCGGGCCCTGCCCGGCCCCAGTCGCAGGAGACGCTGAGCATCTCCCGTCACCTGCACTGCTCGAGCCCTCGGCCTCAGCTGTTTGGAGCAGAACCGGGAGCGCCTGGGGCAGCTGCCTTTGCTCCCCTTCCATGTTGCCCCCCTGCTCCCACTGAGGGGCTCCGCACCCCTAGGGCCCCCTTCTCGCCCACGTGGGCCTCTCCCACCCTGGGAAACCCTCCAGAGCACTCGGCCCTCTGGGGCTGCCCGCAGATTCCTGCTCCTCCTCTCTCCACCCCGCAGTCCCGCCCCGTCCCACTCTGCAGGGCAACTTAATTACAGGGCACGTCTCTCTCGCAGGAGGAGGCATGAAGGGGGGTGCGCAAGGGCCCTCGCCCAGGGGCCCAAGCACCTTCTCTCTCAGAGCTGCGTGGGGGGGGGACAGCGGGGGTGGGGGCCGTGGAGAGCAAGGCCCCGGTCGTGGTTGCTCTCACCTGTTGAAGAGCGGGAGGACCATCTATCTCTGCCCCACAAAGGTGTTGTGGGGGTTACCTGAGTGACTGAATGGAAGCAGCCCGCACACAGGCTGCACCTGGTGGGGACAGGTAGATGCTGGTCCCTTCTCAGCACCCACCCCAGCCCCTCAGGAAGTTGCCTGGCAGTATCAGGCCGAACGTTTCACCCAGGGAATGCTATGACCCTTCTGGAGCAAGGTGAAAGGGACCTTTGGGTGAGGTGTAATTTACTTTTCTCCTACTCCATTCTAACCTCACCTGGAGGATGGGGGCTGCCGACGCCCCCCACCCCCTGGACTGGACAAGTGGGCTGCCTATGACTTTAGTGGCTCAAAACTCTGGCTTTGCATTCTAATCACAAGAGAAGCTTTCAAGGCAAGAGAGCTCTGCCCCTACCTCCAAAGATTCTGATTTCACGGATCTGGTCACCAGCCTTGTTAACAAGTCCCTAACCTGTGTTGCATAACTAGGGTAGAGATCTGGGTTTCAGCTCCTCTCTCAGCAGCCTCACTATAGCAGCCGCAAATTCACCCCTGGTCCGGGAAGAAAACCCAGTAGGATTAGCAACAGCTTCTGGGTTGGGATTATAAGGGAGTTGGTCTCCAGATTTTGGGCCCCATTTTATCTGAGCTCTCTTCTCCTCTTGAATAGAAACCAGACAGAGTACAGTGGGTAGCGGGGCTTTGTTCTCAGGCCAGAGGCTGTTCCCCTCACACCCCCACCTCCCTCTGTCTGGCAAACAGTTGGTCACAATTGCAATGGGGAAAAAAAATAAAAATGCTCCAGAAGAGGGAGGCGGCATGGTTATTAGTTTCTAAGAGCCTGAAGCGAAGAATGGAGCTGGGGGCATTTTGCTGCGGTTCCGACATTCCCCAGTTTCCAGAAGAAATGAGTGAGCATGAAAGTTGCCTGAGGAGCTTGATGGAGTCCAGTCTGTGGCTCAGGCAACACCACTTCACACAACCCAGCATTCAGCCGACGGCCAGCGAATGGGTTACGAGCAGAAATGGGGAATTACTCACGTATGGCAGCATCAAGTGGCAATCTTGCAGCCAGAAGCAGAAATCCCAGAAAACAGTAGAGACATTTCATGCTGAATGAATTCTCACAGACCCAGCAATCAAGGTTTAACTTTTAACTCCTCTGGCTCCATCTGCTAAGAACAACAGTGCACTTCTGGCCTCTATTGCGCCCCACTCCTTATTTTAATTAAATACGGGCCTCAGGGCCAATCATGTGATGGTATTAAGCAGCATTGCCTGATCTGATCTCTCGAGTTCAACCCCTTCCAACTCATGTGCTTCTGACTCACTTGCTTTCGGCGTCTATTCACTTTTAAGATGCACACTGTTTTAATGTTGGGACTCCACATTTCTAGTTTAAGAACTTTCTGGTTAACTTCCTTTCCTTTGGACCCTATTTTAATATCCTTCACCAAATATAATTTTAGCCTCCAGCCTCATTGATTATCAACTTGCCACCATTCCTTTTCTGATTGACTCACCCGGCTCGTGCTGAAATGTCACAACGATGCCTCTTTTGCTGGGCTTCAGATGACCAGCTCCTCACAGTGCTGGCTATTGCTGGTACTTTCCCTTTTCCCATGAGGAGGCAAAGGAGGCAAGGGCGTATCTCTTCAAGCACTTGAAACTGTGGATTATGTATATGGATAACATATGTTGTGCCTGAAGGTGCTTCAAACAGCTGCTCAGGCCTCCAGTCGTTGAGAAATTTACCCTAAAGCACATTCATGATCTCTGTGCAATTCCATATAACTTTTGGAACAACCCGCAGAATTTTTGGTAACTGCTGTCAAAGCATTTCTTTATGTGTTGTATCGCTCAGGGTCAATTGCAGAAAACATACAGCCTATTTATTTCATGTTACAGAAAGCAGGCACTAAGTGTCAAAACAAGCTTGGGTTGGAACATGAATTTTATACAATCAAATTATTCCTGTGCAGAACATTTGGCAACATGAACACTTTACTGCATGTGATCTTTCTTTACGTCTCATCCATATAACCCTTTTCAGTGGATATACAAGTCCGGGTAGGGGTGAGAATAAAATTTGGGGTATTGGCTTACGTTTCTACTGTGCTGACGAGGACAGAAATAGTCTGTGAGACTGAAATCCACCGAGCGGAGGGAGCGGGAGTGGCCGATTCCTGACCCCACGGCCACTGAGAGCTCCAGGGCTCCTTTTACAGCCTCTGAAGCAGGAATGAAGGGAAAATCAGTAAAGGGAACACACGCGTGGTTCAAACAACACTATTTCCATATACAAATGAATAATGGAAGTGTTTTATGTTATATGAATAATCCATATAATTCTGTTTGCTTTTTACAACAAACATGTAACTTTTAGAATGGTTTAAAAAGCTTCAGTTTAGGAAAACCTTACTGTTGATTGATTTTAAAAAAAATATTATTGCCCTTTGTTGCTGATAATCAGTTCTGGTTTACAGTTTTGGCCAGATGAACTACATCCACCTCTAAATAAGTTGGAAGTGACAAACTCTTCTGTGACAAAATCTTAGTAGGGAGACAGGCAGAGTGATCAAATCTTATGTTTTCTCTTCTTCCCTATCCTGTCGGGGGTGGGGGCGGTGCACCGGGCGATCAGCACAAAGGTGGGCAGCTGGGTGAGGTGAGGAAGCAGCCAGTTCTTCGTTCCAAAGCGCTGCCGGCCCATTCTGGGGCCGTGGTAATCAGCAGCTGATAGCGCCTGAAGCCGTTTATTTCCTAGGACCAGATACAGTGCTATTTTGGTTAAGAAATGTCCTCAAGGTTTTGTTTTGTTTTGTCTTGTTTTTAAGTCAAATCACAATGCAAGTTAAGTTTGAAATCATTCATTGAAAGAAGGGAACCATCTCAATGACTCAGTGTTGTCGACTTGATTCTTCTGTTTGGAAATGATGTTGAGGAAAGCAATAGTCGGCTTTGGAGAATGTACTGGGTTCCCTGTCAGCATCCTGGTTTCTGACCCCGCTCATGGTGGCCGCAGTCCCAACTTGAGGGGCAGCACCTGAGATGTATTAACTGCAGTAGTCACACAAAGAGGGACTTGGGGAGTGGCAGGCGACACCCAGGGGTCAGGGCAGGTGGGTGGTGGGGTGGGGTTAAAACCTTTCATTTTAGGGATTTCTCAGAAACTGGTGTTTTTTAAGCAAGAGAATACAAATTAAGGTCCTTTTCTCCTCAACTTTTGTAAATCGCTGTTGTATTCATTCCCTGTTTCCACTGTAACAAATGGCAGAAACTTGGAGGTTAAAACCACACAAATCTATTCTCTTCTGGGAGTCAGCTCTGAAATGGGCCTCACTGGGCCGAATTCACAGTGTCAGCAGGGAGGCTGCTGTGAAGACTCTGTGTCCTTGCCTTTTCCAGCTTCTAGGGGCCTCCCTGCATTTCCTGGCTCACAGCCGCCATCCAGCCGCAGAGCCGGCCACGGCCAGTGGAGTCCTTCCCTCATCGCACCTGACGCTGCTCTCCTGCCTTCCTCGCTCCCCTGTAAGCGCACTTGTGATTACATGGGGCTCACCTGGATAATCCAGATTCATTTCCTCGTCTTAAGTCTGTTGATTAGCCACCTTAATTCTATCAGCACCCTTAATTCCCCCTGCCACGTAACGTCTTGACAGGTTCTGGGGATTAGGGTGTGAACAGCTTTGGGGGGCCATTACTCTGCCTAGCAAAGTGATACAGCAGGTGATTTAGCAAAAAATTCTATTTATGAAGAAGAGTACGTGATAACAACAGTGATGGAAAGTACCTCTCAAAGGTTCCAAGACTTGTTGAAACAAAGCCTTTGATATTTGGCAGAGCAGAAAGGCAAGAATAAACTAAAGGTAAAGAAGTCAGTTCACAGCGAGGGAAAGCTCATGTGATTTGCCTTGTCCTAGTGTGGGCTTTTGAACACGTTATAATCAGAGTCACGGTTTTCAGACTTAAGCATTAACAAATGACTCAGACTTCTGTTTTTGTCTAGTTCTTCAGTCTCTGGGTGCTCTCTGCATGAATAAATCATTCAACCCCCTTATTTTCAGATTTACTAAGTTTTTTCAAGAAAGATTTTATTTATTTTTAGAGAGAGGGGAGGGAGAGAGAAAGAGAAGGAGAGAAACATCAATGCCTGGTTGCCTCTCACATGCCCCCAGACTGGGGACCTGGCCTGCAACCCAGGCATGTGCCCTGACTGGGAATTGAGCCGGCGACCCTTCGGTTTGCAGGCCAGTGCTCAATCCACTGAGCCACACCAGCCAGCTCAAGATTTACTAAGTTTTGAAATTACTCTTCAACCAAAGTTTTTCCTAGCTTTTCAGGGAAAGAGGAGAAAATGATTACAAAGGTCAATGCGTTCCTGTCCTGGTCGTCACTGCGCCCACAAGTCACTGGTGTCTGTTGCAGTGTTAGCCTGATGAGTTAAATTGGATAAGCACAGAGAAGGCATGAGGAGAGTGCATTCCGGGTGGGAAGGAACAATATGACTAGAAGAAGGAACGAAGCACTGATAATGCTCAAATGTGGATGAACCTCAAAAACATTATGCTCAGTGAAAGAAACCAGGCACAAAAGTCACACATTGTTTGATTGCTTTTATATGAAATATCTGGAATAGGCAAATCGGTAGGGGAAGGAAAAACAGGTTGGGGATTGCCAGGGGCTGCAGGGGGACTGAGTGCTAGGCGGCTATGGGGTTTTATTGGGTGCGACGAAAACATTTGGGAAGCAGGTAGCGGTGGAAGCTGCACAACGCGGGAGAGGGACTACATGCCACTGAGTTTGTCACTTTAAAATGGTTAATAGTATGTTTTGTGAATTTCACCAAGATTTTTTAAAAAAGAACATCACGATTAACTCCATGATACTCTTTGTGCCGGGCACAACGCTAGAGAGCGAGGGTGAAAAGAAAAAGGCGCCTGGCTGTATGGGGCTTGCAAGGCACTTGGAGGCCGCGGCGGACGAAGGCGCGTGCAGCCATGACGGCAGGAGCGCGTCGGGGCGCGCAGCGGGGCGTGGGGCGCAGGTCCATAATAAAATGTCCTGGGAGCCATGTTTTTTAAAAAAGTACAGAGAAACAGTTGAGAGTAATTTACTCTCATTATTGATACATTATTTAACTCAATTTCAACATGTAATCAGTATAAAATTAATAACAAACTAATTTACATTTTTTATGCAGCCTTTGAAATCCAGAGCGTTTCACACTTACAGCACATGCCATTTTATTTTATTTTACTTTATTTTATTTATTTTTGAGTCCTCACTGAGGATATGTTTATTGATTTTAGAGAGAGAGGAAAGGAGACAGAAACATTGATGTGAGAAATATTGATCCGTTGCCCCCTGTTTGTGCCCAAAAGGGGGTAGAACCCACAACCTTTTTGGTGTACAGAACGAGGTTCCAACCAACCAAGCCACCCGTCCAGGGCAGTACGTGTCATCTGAGACAGTGCATCGCAAGCGCTCAGGGGCCACATGGGCCAGTAGCTGGCATTCGGGACAGCGCAGCCCTGAAGAGACAGGAAGGGCTTTGCCAGGGGGCACGCGGTGGCCTGGGGCTGGTGCAGCTCGAGCCCCTCACAGGCCCCAGGCAGAGGGTCGTGGGAGCCTGGGCCCAAAAGGGAGCTGAGGCTGGAGGGCGGAAAGCTCTGCGAGCTGTGAGGTGACACGCTCACCCTATGTCGATCCTGATTTTGATGGAAAGTGGGTGTCAGGCACACTGGTTATTTCTTTTCCTCTCAAGAGTGCAGGTAAAGAAGAGGAAACGAAGAGGTCGAGGGCCCATTACGCACGATCACTTGGATGACTACTCCCTGCACCCGGACGGTCCGTTTCCAGCACTCTTTTCAAAGTGGAAATAATCATTGCCAAACCCAGCCTCGTCTCAACTTAGTCATCGGTGTCTTGCTCAAGGGAACCTTCCAATGTTATCCAAGAGTGAAATCTCTCCAGGCAACTGATTTCAGAAGTGTAAAATAGTTTCCACAACTTGTTTTAACTTCAATTTTATTTTGAAAGTTACAAAGAATAGTACAATTCCCAAATATCCTTTATCCAGAGTTACCAAGGTTGACATTTTGCCACATTTTCACACTAATTTACGTATACTTATGTGTATATTTGTATATAAACATATACATTTTTTGTTATTGTTTTTTATGAA